GCGATTGACCCCACATTGCAGAGGAGAGTATTTCCGCCCTTCACGTTTCCTCGACCAAAACCCTCTCAACGACCATCGGGAGCAACATTCGCTAATATTGTAGATGGTAAAATTGACTTGTACCATTTTTTATGCTGACGCATTTCATTTCAGAGTCACGGCGAAGGTACTGTATCGTTTTTGATCTGAACGGTGTCCTTTTCTCCCATGAGCGTGGCTCGTCCTCGAATGTCATTGCACCCTCCAAAGCCTGCGGTCGCAAGTTGGTCAAAAGAGACAGATTCACATTAATCACACGGGAGAAACTGCGGGATCTAATAATGACCATGCGACACTTAAAACAGAGGGCCGGGTTCAATTTGCAATTGGGAGTTTGGACATCCATGATGCGCCACAATGCATTAACGTTGCTACAGATGATGCACGATCAGACGCGAGTAATATTACCATTTGACTTTCTCCTAACGCAGGAGGATTGCTTGACTATGGTCCATGTGAGGGGTAGCAAGCCCATCTTCGTCAAGCCAGAGGCTGTAGTGATGAACCGGACTGCTAGCTCAAGTGAAATCCTCATCATCGATGACTCGCCGATTAAAACTGCAGCGAACACGCACACATATGCAGTGCACCCCATCTCTTGCAGTATGGAAACTAGGGAGAAGAAACCGTATGTTCTGGGGGACCTTGCAAAACGGCTTGGAGCGATGGTGATAGAGAACCGGCCAGTCCAGGAGGTGGCTGCAGAAATCAACCAAATGGCAGATGGAACGGTATATCAGAAGCCATTTGATTGGACAGACACCAGTCATCATTTATGGCATGTATATTGTCTAGCCAAGCACTATCCGCATCTCCATAATCTGCTCAACCGGATGGGTTCTTCGACCACTGAACATGAGCGTGGACGTATTAGAGAAGAGATGGCATTACTATTGGGTTTAAATCCTGATAGTGTGGAGAGTGATGAAATTCCAAGATTATTGTATAGGCGTTGGAGGCAAAAAATAACAGTCTGAGATGGCATGTATTTATTTAAAAATGTAACTTATTATGGCATGGTGTTCCATGCAATTGTATTAATATTAAAAGACAATTCTTTGAGAGGATTTGCATTATACTAGAAGTGTTACAGCATGTTATTGGAAGTCTACGAAGTTGTTTTATTAATAATGGGAAAGTAAAGATTGAATGGGGACTTGGGCTCCACCTAGACTCGGAGCAACTGAGCCAATATTAAAAGGATGGAAAGAAATTGGACGACGATGACAAGGAGAAGAGAGAGGTGAAGCAGTGGCAGGGGGAGGAGAAGTGATTGAGTAGACATTTCCTTGTTTAAAATAAAATGGCATGTGCCTCAATGCAGTTGAATTTTGTTATATTTATATACTATATAAAGGTTTGGAAACCTTATTTTACAAGTGGGATAATGACAATTCCCACTTTAACGAAATAGAGCTTACATTGTGAATGTCACTATTAATTAAGTCTAATTGTTCAACTATAATCACATCGCATCGAGCAATTGCACTAACTATTGCTCTAGAGTCAAAGGAGGGGGAGGCTGCTGCTCTACTATGATGATGAACAAAAAGGAAAAAGCAAAAGAAAAAAAATTGAAAAAGCTATAAAGAAGGAAGATCTAAATGATGTAAAAGCTAAATCTAAATTTAAATCCTAATTCCAAACACTCTTCAGGGACAATCAAAGTTGCCTCTTATCTCCACTAATATAAGTGTATTGAATAAAGAAATGGAATAAAGAAATGTGTGTATATTAATCAGCTTATAAACCCTAGTTTATATATAAGAGTGAATGGTCTGGATTGAAATCAATTCAATGGTTATTAAAATCCCATTATACGAATATTAATTTACAGCATTATAGCTATATATTTGGACATCACAAAATGAATATAAATATAAAAAATTAGAAATTTTAAAAACAAAATTAATGGCAATATAATATATATAAGAAAAATTATTAAAAAATTATAAATTTTGTGTGAGTGCATATAATATAGAAATGGAATACAGAAATATGTATTTTGATTAAACTTATATATAGAAGCGAGTGGTTTGGATTGAAATCAATTTGATGGCTATCAAAATCCCACAATACTAAATCTATATAAATCTGAACTAAATATATAAATATTTATACAAAACTATATAAAAAATATATTTAAAAACTACTAGTAATTACAAGACATTTCAATATTAGCAATCAAAATCAATAAGTAAAACCACTTCAAACAAAAATGGAGAAGGAAGGATATGAATAAAATAATAAAAGACAATACACATTTTAAGAAACTAACAAATCACATATAGATAAAATTTATAAATATACAAAAGCAGGAATAGCACCAATATATTGGCAATGCACAATAAACCCTGTTTTTGTTAGCCACTAAAAACTTTAATTTGCTTTAGCAAACCTATGGGCTGGTATTGGATATACCTCAAATACCTTTGGAGCATATTTTACTATTTAAAGGTTTGATATTCATTTAGACTAATCTTGTGTTTAGATCTCACAGACTGTTTTGTGCTACTCTTTTGTGAATTATAATCAAGACAGAAGGGTTTGAATCTGGGAAGTGGGAAAAGTCTAGGTTTTCTACTAAAAGTATTCTTCTGTTGAGTATAAAATTCCTTTTCTTCTTTCTTAGTTATCAATGATAAGAGTGCAAAGAGCAATATAAAAAGTAATCAAACATCTTACAGAGTATTCCATTTTCTTTGATTAAAAGAGGAGGTGCTATCATCAATAAAAAGTGTCCAAGAGAAAGTTAAAGTTGCTTATATAGTGTTTATATATCTCATTTATTAATTTGTAAGTGTTTTAAACTAAATAGTGCAAAAAAAAATTTCATTTTCTCAGAATTGTTTTTTGTTGTGTTATCAATTTGGAAATTTTACTAATACAAAATTAATTAATATATAGAGGATATATTTTAATATATAATATTTAAAATACACAAGCAAGCCAAACAGCACAGCAAATTAGTTTTTGCATTTCATGAACAAAAGCTTGAACTCTCAAATGAAAGATACTCAAAAAGAATGTGCAAGACAAAAAAGCTTATGCAAGGCAATCTGCTAGCAAATATTCCCTGTGGTCCATCTATTTACTGGTAGTTCTTTTAATGCCTTGGCTGAAACAATCCAGCCAAGGAAGAATAAAAACCTCTGGAATTCAAAAGAATACGTTTGACAAACAAAATCAATGTGTCTCTTTTGCTTTTGTGTTTAATGGATCTCTCTGTGGTGACAGGCGCAGTGCATGAATCGCCGAGCTCTCAGCTTAATCACAGTGTGGAGACAAAAAAATAAAATCGAAAGCTTTATATTTTCCTAGAGAGGAAGAAAGCGATGGTGTCAGCAGCTCGGACAGTAGCTCCATTAAGGTCTCCGTTTGTTTCTATGTTCCAGATATCTTCCATTTCTCTCACTCCCAATCGTTTCAACTTCCAAAGAACGAAACAAGCGTCGAAAGTTTATGGACGAGCGCAGGAGGAACAACACAGGCAAGAATCTTCTCGCACTGGCATTAAATTTTCTCGCCTGGAGGAGAGAAGCAGCATCGATTCCAGGAGCTCCCGCGAGAGAGACACTGATTTCTCGCCAGATCCAGCGTCAGGTTCTTCTCAAGCATGGCTTTCTATTATTTTTTGCGAGCCGCCATCTCCATACGAAGAAAAAGAAGAAGATTCCTTGTTCTCGCTTGCGCGACACGTGTACCTGGCATGCAAATGTGTATTAAATTTTAAACCTCCTTTCCCATTTAGGAGCTCTCGTTTAACACTTTGTTCTTCTTCCAGCTTTTCTGCCCTAATTCGCTGCTTTGCTGTGGAGGGGGCGCTGCGCAGCGCAGCGCTTTCTCTCTTTCTCTCGCGAGTTTTTTCACTGCTTTTGTTTCGATCCTTTCTTCTCTCTTGTTTGATCGTCCGTTGCGCATCATTTAAGGCGCTTTGTTTATAGCGAGCGAACAAAGCAAGGAATTGGTGCGAGAGAGAGAGAGAGAAGAGGAGGAGAGGAAGAACGAACGCTAGGAATGTGAGTCTTTGATTCCTCCAATTCGCGCATGCGTGGCCTTCTCCGGGTAAAAGTGGATTGTGCGTTTTCTAGCTTGCTATAAGTGAGCATAGTGTTTTTCTTTCTACTTAGAACTATTGCTCTCTCCCAAGTTCTTCCAGGTGTGAGTGTAGAGCCTTCTCAAGAGGACCAGGAGAACGATCGAGAAGAAAAAGGAGTTCTCTTCTTTCTCTTCGAGTGAGATTCATCGCCTAAACTCTTCTCCAACTTTGGCACTCGATTCCACCCGTCGATCACCATGTTTTTCCCACCGTTTCTGATGAACTTGCTCATCGCCTCGAGCTGGACACCTATTCCATGGCTGCTACCGCCGCCACTCTGCTTCCTCGTCTGGGCCTCGGCGATTCCCGTCACCGCGGCGCAGTACTACTGCTTCCAGATGGGGATCAGTGCTACGCCGCCGCCGCTCATGCTCCAGCACTTCTTCTACTCGCAGTGGGCTTCCTCGCTTCCGTTCAGCTACCCAAATCCTTTCAGCCTCGGAGAGTAGTGAGCGATCGGCCATCGTCCCAAAGTTTGGAATCCAAGTCAAGTGATCGTCACTCGACTTAAATCGAAACTTTGGTAGAAAATAAATGTTCTTTCCTTCGTCCTCGTTCTCTTTCGTTCTTCCATAACACACCACGAGATCTGTGTATTCCACTGATTCTTCTGGTTTGAATCGTACGGTATCTTTCCGGCGAGAAAAGAGGTACGGGTATTAATTATCTGGCAGCTTAGCCAGCCCGACTAATAAATCCGTTGTCGTCTAGTCCGGTCAGGATACCTGGCTCTCACCCAGGCGACCCGGGTTCAAATCCCGGCAACGGATGTTACCCATGTAGATAGATCCGTGTTTTTGTTCACGACGCATTTTCGTCTTTCATCGTTTTGAAATTTCAATGGTCTTCTCTTTCTACTAATTTTTTCTGTAGCGCTCTTTCGTTGTGGGCTTCGATCAGATCCACTAGCTAGCTAAGTATACACTGAAAGATCAACCTTTTTTCTCAAACATTCTCTTTTTCTTTGTTCAAAGTTTTCGTTCTTTCGTTTTCTCTAGTCGCGACCTCAAGATGCTCGCTCCAAGAGTAAGATTGCGATACTGCTTTTTTGACTTTGCCCAAGTTATTTTTTTTCTTCCTTCCACTTTCTTTGTTGGTTTCCTCCTCTGACCTGAGAGGTAAACCCAAGAACGCGATCGAGATGGTTTTTCTTCGTTGTTGTTGTGTTGCGCATACTGGTTCCAACTTCGCCATCCCTGGCGGCCCCATTTCATCGCCATCGCCATAGCCACGACTGTGTCTCTCTGTATTAGCGTGTTATTTTTGTTTGTGGCCCTCGGCGCCCCTGTACAAAATGCTCGTGCGTCTCCAGACGACGAGTGTGAGTAAGTCTTTCCAACAAACGCAATTAAAATCGATAGAAAAGTGCGAAAACTAATCTCCTCGCCCACAGTCCTTTCCAGCGTTCGTGTTTAGCTGCGCAGTATTCTTGACACGGTCACTACGTTTTCTTTCCATCTCTAGGCCTATTTATCCTTTTTTTCCAGGAGTGCCGTGGGCGAGCAAACTAGCCACTGGCTGCCACGAAAGAAGAGGTAAACCGAGTAGTATCAGATCTCAGCCAGAGCTCGAATTGGGAGAGGAAAGAAACTTGGGGGAAATTGTAGCAGCAGCAGCAGCTTCGGCTAGATCTCTCGCTCTCTTTCTCTCTGTTCGAGAGAACGGACGAACGAGAGGTAGAGGTCTCAAGCCGAGATAGAGAGCCTTCGCTCAAGGAGATAGAGGTCTCTCACTCTCACAGCTATGGCAACCAAGATGGATCCTCCAAATGGCTACTGCCCTCCAGACAAGCACTACTACATGCTGTGGCACAGCTTGTTTGAGATCGACACCAAGTATGTTCCAATTCGTCCGCTGGGGAAGGGAGCTTATGGAGTGGTGTGCTCGGCCGATAATCTGGAGACCGGGGACAAGGTTGCCATTAAGAAGATTGGGAATGCTTTCGAGAACTCCATCGACGCGCTGAGAACTTTGCGGGAGATGCGACTGCTGCGGTACTTGCAGCACGAAAACGTGGTGGGGCTGCTGGATATCATGAAGCCCGTCGGGAGATACACTTTCAACGATGTCTACCTGGTTTACGAGCTCATGGACACGGATTTGCACCAGATCATCCGCTCCTCGCAGCCCCTCACGGACGAGCACTACCAGTTCTTTATCTATCAGGTACTCTTCCTTGTTTCCTTTCCTCGTTTAGCTGTGCCTGGTTATAGTCCTTCGTTTTCAGCTCGGTTTTTTTCTTGTTATCTCTCCGTATTTCCTACGTCTTGTTATGTTCTCTAAGTTGTTTGATCCAAGTATGGCTCGTTTGGTTCTACCATACGTCGCAAAATCAGTTTTTCTTAAGTTTTGGTCTGTGTCCCAGCTCCTCCGCGATCTCATCTACTTAGTTCTATGCTGTCCTTCGATTTTCAGTCATCAAAATCATGCTTTTTTCTCATGAAAATCCTCTGTTCCCAGTCCGTCTAGTTTCTACCGTCGTAAAAATTTGTTTTTTCTTCATTGACGTGTGTGTGTTCTTCGTCTTCCAGCTGCTTCGTGGTCTCAAGTACATCCACTCGGCCAACGTTCTCCACCGCGACTTAAAGCCCGGCAACTTACTCCTCAACGCAAACTGCGATCTCAAGATCGCCGACTTCGGCCTCGCGAGAACCGGGCGAGAGAAAGGCCAGTTCATGACCGAGTACGTCGTCACTCGCTGGTACCGCGCTCCGGAACTCCTCCTCTCGTGCGAGGACTACACCAGCGCCATCGACATCTGGTCCGTGGGATGCATCTTCGCCGAGCTCCTGGGGAGAAAGCCGATCTTCCCAGGCAAGAACTACATCAACCAGCTCAAGCTCATCATCGACGTGATCGGATCGCCCAAGGAGAGCCAGCTCGGGTTCATCAGCAACCACAAAGCTCGAAGCTACATCCGCTCCTTGCCACCAACGCCGAGAGTTCCATTGTCTCGCCTCTATCCACACGCGAATCCGCAGGCGTTGCAGCTCATCGAGAGGATGCTTGCCTTCGATCCAAAGGAGCGGATCACCGTGTCGGAGGCGCTGGATCATCCGTACTTCAATCTGGTTCACGACAATCACGCTGGAGATGTCTACCAGTTTCGTCCGGACAATATCATCCCTCCGGATGTCATGGAGGATCAAATGGTCGACACGAGCAGTAACTTGCGGGAGTATGTGTGGAGGGAGATGTGCTACTACCACCCCCAGGCGATCAACGAGATGTGATCAATATCAATTCTTATACATATATTGATTCATTTTATTAAGATTGTATCATATCCTCGGCGAAGAAATAAAACCTTCGGTTTGATTTCCTCGAAGTTCGTCCAAATGCTTTCAACCATGTCGCGGTTTGTTCCCCCTTTGTTCTTGCGTTCGTATTTCTCATCCCACTCGAGCTCTTCTTCGATGCTTCCAGCATTTCTACGTCCTGCTCGGGATTTCCTGTGTCTTTCGAATCAATCTACAACTTCAAGTTTGTCTGCGCCTCGATCTCCCAATATAATAATCGTGAAACGAAGAAAAACTACACAAACCTACCGTAGTACTTGAATCAAGCAACGAGAAATCGGCGCGTTCTTTCTTCTTTATACTTTTCTCTCGTGGAGCCACTCCATGACTTCCAGTTATCAGTCGTTCCAATCTGGGTGTAGACAAGAAACTAAACAATCGATCAGTTCTAGGAAGTTCACTTTCTTCCCAGTTTTCCATCGATTCCTTGACACGATCTTGGTGTCGTGTCCCTGTGGTGGAAACTTCGCTTTCGTAAGCGTTTAAAACCGCAAAAACGTACAGACTTTGTATTCTCGTAGTCCCCGCGACTGGATCCTTCGCTATTACTTTGTTCTTCCTTTGGTTAGCGAAAAAGTTATAGGATCTTGCTTTTTGCCTGCGCATCGCTGATAAAGAACCATTTTTGCAAGAGCATGATCCTCGTCCTTGGTTTCTACTGCAAGCTCTTGACATTAAAACTAAACTCGCAATGAACAAACCACAGTTTTTGCGAGAGTCTCCTTCTCGTTGAAAATCCATTCATAATGTTCTTGTAAATTTTCCCGAGAGCGTCGATTTCATCACGTCTTTGTGGAGAGATTTCTAAAGCTTCGATGAATCTAGAACCAGAGAAGTAAGAACAATCTCAAGAACTCAGCTCTACCAGCTAGATCTCGAAATTAACTCCGAGAATTATACATATATGCACTTTTTCGTATTTACTGAAATGTACACGTTTTCAAGATCATCATACTCCTACAAAAAATGTTGTTTTGGATCTCCTTTTCCCCTTTAATTATGGGAGAAGATCTGGGCCGTTGCAAGCAAGCTGGAGCTGGAATCCAGGCCGTCGGTGCAGGCGATCTTGGAGGATGGCGGCGATGGAACTTTGAGCATTCTAGACACCGAGTTGTGTCCCGGGCTGGGGCTCGAGCCCGGCGTGCTGCCTTTGGGCAATTTGCTGCTAATCGCCACTCTGGACGACGAGCCCATCGTCTGCGCATTGTGATCCTTGCTGGGTCCTGGATTGGGGGTGAAGTTTCCCTTGGGCATCTTGCTGCCCAGCTCGATCTCGAGCTTGGCGCCTTGAGCGAAGCGATTCCCCCCTGGATTGGGGCCTGATGGAGCATCGAATTTGGCCCCAATGAGCGTCGATCGAGAGACCTCCTTCTTGCCTCCCAGGATCGCGGCATTCCCCCCCGGATTGGGGCCGGAGGGCGCTACGAATTTGCTCCGGAGCTCAAGACCCGATGGCGATCGCTCCTCGATGTTCTTCCGAGGCTCCAACCGCGAGCATTCCATCCCAGGCATGGACAGAGCCAGCGCCATCAAGAGCAGCAAGCCGGCAATCGATCCTGGCGCCATTTTCATCCAAAGCTTCTATCTTCTGACCACCAAATCGATCGATCGAATCAGGGAATGGATAGAATTCTCTTTCTCGGGCGCTCTTCTAACTGATTGGGTCTCGCAGTGCTCCAGCATCGTTGAGATTTTTCGTTTTTATAGCGTCGCCGCCGCAGAGCAAGCATGGAGCGAAGCTTACAGGCGCGTGCTTTAAGTGTTTTGATTTGACGCGGCCCGGATTGACCGGCCAAAATCTTTGACCGGTCTCGTGACTGTTTGTGGCCACTCCCTGGGAAACATGTGCCGCACTAAGTCAAACGTTACGAATAGTAACTTTTCGCTAATAAAAGAAAAGCCCTAAAAATGAACATACCGTGATTATTCCTAATAATATACCTTTTGTACAGAAGAGATTATTCCTGATAATATACCTTTCTGTGGGAATCTAGGTCATGGATCTGGGTGATTCTCATATTTTGGGAATATTCGGGGCGTCAGATCGGACGGTGTTTCTCGTGTAGCTAGGCGCTTAGATTCGTGGATCCTTCCATTTGTGCGCGTCGGGAGATACCCCTAGGCGATCTTTAGAGGTCCTCCTATGTGGCGCTCGTTGTGGGGAGCGATGCGATGGATCAAGGCGAGGTAAGCCTAGAGGCAGTGCGATCGCGGCAGAGAGAATTTGGGGTTCTTTAGGGATCACTTAGATCGTTGAGAAACGCTTCCAGGGCAGCAGTGAATTTGGGTCTTGGTTCTAGCTCTTCGAGGATTTTTCTTGGTTCTATTTCTAGCTCCTCGATCGTGTTTTTGGAGGAATTTTTTGCTGGATGGCGTCCTACATGCTCGTCAATTGTAGCAATTGCCGCACGCCTTTGCAACTCCCGGCTGGAGCGAAGGCCATTCGCTGTGCGCTTTGCCATGCCGTCACTCACATCGCCGAGCCTCGCAACGTCCCACCATCGCCATACTCGAATGGAGCTCCTCCTGCCAATCCCCTCCAGTACTCCCCGAGTGTTCCCAGCGCTCATGGATCCAAGCGAGCGCTCATCGTCGGGATCAGCTACAAGTACTCGCGATACCAGCTCAAAGGTTGCATCAATGACGCCAAGTGTATGAAGTTCTTGCTCATGAACAAGTTCCAGTTCCCGGAGTCTTCGATCCTCATGCTCACAGGTAACTTTGATTCGACTCTTTGGTATTTTCTGAAAGTTGGTTTTTTCGTGATGATCCAGAGGAAGAGAGAGACCCTCTACGACTTCCCACGAAGCAAAACATGAGGATGGCAATGTTTTGGCTCGTCCAGGGGTGCAAGTCGGGAGATTCTCTCGTCTTTCACTACTCCGGCCATGGATCGCAGCAGCGGGACTACACGGGCGAAGAGGTTGACGGATATGACGAGACGCTTTGTCCCGTGGACTTTGAGACGCAAGGAATGCTCGTGGACAACGAGCTCAACGCGACTTTAGTCAGGCCTTTGCCTCGTGGAGTGAAGCTCCACTGCATTATCGATGCTTGCCACAGCGGGACTGCGCTGGATCTTCCCTTCCTCTGCAAGTTTAACAGGTATGCCTCACTTGGGATTTACGCAAAAGTCTCTCAAAAGGCCTCTTTTTTCTTCTCGTTTCTTGCAGCTATGGCCAGTTTGCTTGGGAAGATCATCGGCCTCGATCCGGGGCTTGGAAAGGTACCGGCGGCGGCGACGCGTTCTCATTCAGTGGCTGTGACGACGGGCAAACTTCGGCCGATACTTCTGTATGTTCTGTCGCAAAGTTTCGTAGGCTCGCAGCTAAATCTTGTTCTACTTGCAGGCTTTGTCGAAAGTTACTTCGACTGGAGCTATGACTTATTGCTTTATCCAGGCCATTGAGCACGGGCATAAAACTTATGGAAGTGTCTTGAATGGGATGCGTCAGGCTATCCGGAACGCGAATACCTCCTCGGGAGGGATCGGCGGGGGCGGTGTGACAACTCTTATAGGAATGCTTTTAACCGGTGGAAGCGTCGCTGGTGGATTAACGCAGGTTCGTATCTCTTTTCTAGAAACTCGTATAGCCTACGATCTATAACTCTTGGATACAGGAGCCACAACTTACATCCGCGAATCTCTTCGATATCAACATGCCATTCACCCTTTGATTCTTGGAGCAGCCACAATAATTCTTGTGAATCACCTTTGTAAATTAGCACAGGTTCTGGAAGCTTGGTTTTTCTCTAATCAGTCCCCCTATACTTTGCTTGAGGTACCACCTATTGAAAAGAATGATTTTTCTATGGTTTTGTCTGTCCGTGAGGAGGATGACAATGTCAACATGTCTTTGGGAAGAAAGCAAACAATGCGCGAGATCAAGTCCCCGTCCTTGGTTTGGCATTGTTTAGCTTTCATTGATTCCGTGAATGAGTGCACAGCTTTGGCCCGTACGGCCCGGGGGGAATAGAAGAAATCGGAAAAGTCCGTACGCAAAAGCAAGGGAAAAACCGACCTTTGATATCTTAAAATCTTTCGGTTTCCTGGACAACCATCTGATCACCAAGGGACAAAGCTCTCCTGGAATGGATTGATTTTTTGGCTTTAGAGTTTCCACTCACGAGGATAATATGGTTTGCGGGCATTTTGCTTGCTTGCTCGACGAGCTTTTGGCCCTGCCATTGTTTTTGTCTGTCTGTTTGTTTGCTGTGTCTCGAGCAAGGTGCTTCGAACCCAAGCTGTGGAAACCATCAAACAAATCGCACAACAACAGGCTTTCCGGCATTTGCTTGGGAGCAAAGTCGTCGTAAAACACCCCTCCCCCATGGTTTTAATTCTAAACAAATCCATCATGTAGGTAGTATAGATAAACGATACTCTATACTTTCATATTCCATTCTTTCTTTGGTTCAACGTCTCGTGAATCGTTCCAAGGTTTCATTTTCATATCATCCAATTGACTGACCACCGCTCCACTCTCCAAAATAGTGGAAAAATCTAGCGACGCAAAGAGCCCTAAAAAGACTTGGATCGATCGAATGGATGGAATGGAATCGATCCATTCGCGGAGACTTCGGTACCAGGTCAAATCTCGACCCGGTTTAAGCAAAGTTGACTTCGCTTTAAACCCGGGGGAAAAACCCGCGATTAAACGCGGCATTGACCCGCTAAAAGCGGGGAGGAGGCATTCATGGCAAAAGTCAGTGCTGTGCGGTGGCAGGCACCACCGGCACCGCACCAAAATTTACCACCCTCGGTAAAAAAGCTCGTTTTTATTTCCACCCCTTTTTTCCACAGGCTTTTCCCTTAGGGTTCTTCCACTCTTCTCCTTCCTTCCACGAGCGCGAGCAGCGATCTTTTGCGCTACTCCACTCGTACCGCGTGTGTGTGATCTTGGGGATTCCTGGCAAGAAGCCCAGCCCAGGATCGTTAAATGCAGGCAAAGATCTCCGAGCGTTTGCGACTCGGGTTTGGATTTGGGGCCATCGACCATCGCCACGCTCGGCAAAAGGGGGGATTTGGATCGATTGCGGGCCTGGGCGGTGCTCGTTCTTGATGATCGGGAAGTGGGTCGCCCCCAAATCACCGTCCGCGAAATGGGTCTCGACGAGCAGGAGGAAACGCTGCGCAAGCATCACCCCGAGGTTCCATCGCACTTCAAGTGCCCGATCTCCCTGTGCCTCATGGCCGATCCCGTGAGCGTGTGCACGGGTATCACTTACGATCGCTCCAGCATCGAGAAGTGGTTCCAGGAGGGCCGCCGGACGTGCCCCGTGACGATGCAGGAGCTCCACTCCCACGAGCTCATCCCCAATCACACGCTCCAGAGGATCATCCACGGCTGGTGCGCCGCGAATCGATTCCAGAGTGGCGCACGGGGCGATCGCGAGCAGCCCATGGATCTCCGCGAGGCGCAAGTGCTCGTCGCCCAGCTGCGAATCCCCCGCTCGCGCCCCGTGGCGGTGAAGCGATTGATCGCGAGGAGCCAGGAGGAGAGGAGCAAGACGCTCTTGATCCGGGCGGGGCTAGCGCCAGTGCTGGTATCGTCCTTCTCGGAGGATCAAGGCCAAGAGCAAGACGAGGAAGACTCGCAAGCCCAGATCCTCTCCCTCCTCCCGCCGCTCATCGCGAATCTCGACGAGCCCTCTCGCAAGGAGCTACTCTCCCCGCGCAATCTCGCCGCCATCGCCCGGCTCCTCCAGAGGGGCGATCTCCACACGCGGGTCTCGGCGGCGGCGCTGATCGAGGAGCTGTGCTGCGCGGACAAGGAGGCGCGCGGCGCGGTCGGCGCCACCGCGGGGATCTTCGAGGGATTGGTGCGCCTGGTGGGCGAGGATCACTCCCAGCGGCGCCACCGCCCAGCGATCCGGGGGAGCCTCCGCGCGGTGCTGGCGGTGTGCCCGCCGCTCAAGAACAGGGTCCGGCTGGTGGAGACGGGCGTGGTGGCGCCGCTGGCGGAGCTTCTCGTGGAGGCGGACAAGGTGACCACCGAGGCGATCCTGGCGGCGCTGGAATGCCTGTGTGGCTGCGCCGAGGGGCGGGCGGCGGTGGCGCGGCACGCGCTGGCGGTGCCGGCGGTGGCGCGGAAGCTGTTCAAGGTGTCGGATATGGCGACCGAGTACGCGATCGATGTGCTGTGGGCGGTTTGCAAGTATTGCCCGGATGAGATCGTCAAGAGGAGGATGGTGGAGGTGGGTTTGTTCCCCAAGCTCTTCTTCTTCCTCCAGATTGGGTGTAATCCAAGGACCAAGCACAAGGCCGGGGATCTGCTCAAGCTTCTTCACAGGGCTTACAGGGAATGCATCGATGGGAGTGGCAGCAACAACGATGGCGCTGGCGGTGATAGCGGCAAGAACAGGAACAAGGAAGACAACACTTGCCTCCTCACAGCTGCCGCGTGATCTTCTTCCTCTCTTTTGCTCGATTCGATTGCAGGAGTTTGCGAAGATCAAAGTTTTGGGGGGCCGTGGTTTTTTACTTTTGATCTTCATGGGCTCGAAGAACACAAGAGGAAGGTCGATTGTGGCTGGAGCTGTGTACATAGGCGTGGGGGGATCACATTGTTTGTGATTGCAAGGAGCTTCAAAAAATTTTGGTGATGGAGCAGGTTTTCTGGATGGGATTCCTGTGCTTTCTTTTTCTCCTTTGTATAAAAAGAGGATGGTGAACAAGATTTTTCAGTGGGCTGGCGGTGCCCTTTGAGAACGTATGAATCAATCAATCAATCATTCACAAGCAAGCAAGTTTGTTTTGTTTGGTTGTGGTGGGGATTTTTAGGGTTCTTGGCTTTTTGTCAACTTCCCTGCCCCAAGTCAATTGTGTTCTTGTGGGGCTGTACAGTACAGGAAATTTCCAGCCAGGCAGCTGGTGGGGGATTGAATAACATCATGGAGAAGTGGTACAGTATACATACAACACAGGAAAAAAAAAATATACATGTTGAGAATGGTGTGTTGGGAGGTGGTGTTGACTTTATGTAGAATAAGAATTGATGATGTCCATTTGACAACCCCTATTTTGTACTGGTCCAAGAAAATGTGAGGTGCTGGCCTGCAGTGCTGCTGTCTGACTGGTGGTGCCTTTCATGCCTGTCATATACCACCTTTTTCCAAGAAAAGAAAAAGGAAAAAAAAGAAAGGGGAGGCAAAATAGTTAGGGCTGACTGACCAACCACCCATGAGCATTATGATTATTCTATTCCTGTTGGAGGCATTCATTGAGTTTTTGCTCTCTGCTAAGTTGGCCAGCCAGCCACCCAACCAGCCATTCATTCTAGACCTGGCATATTCCCTCTAGTTTGAAATGTTTCAGGAGGGCAAAAGGCAGCACAAGCAGGTTTTTGTGCTGTGGGAGGGTCTTATAGTGTTGTAAAAAGAAGTGGGGGAGACTTTTGGGAGTGGCCAACTCAGCTTGGAATAGATGTGTCAATTTCAAAGTGTGCAGAGAGAGCTTGAATTGGAGCAATTCACTAGTTGAAAGCTGGAAGAAATTGGTGACAGGATATGCCTGGTGGCTGGACAAATCATCTATGTGTGTATGAGTGGGACTGAACTTCTTTGATTATCATTGCAAGGTTGCTTTGTTTTGGGATTAAGTACTCGTTCTTTGCTTTTGTGGAATGGATGATCATCAGTGATCAGCATCACCCTCTGAGTGGATAATTCATGAATGAGGAGGACATGCCTACAAAACTTAGGAGAAAGCACTAATCTAAGCATGATGAGTAGTGTTCTCTTGTACAATGATATCATGTCAAAAAGGATATTCGTACTCGCGCCGGTCAACTCGTGCTCGATCGTGCTGCTGCTGAAATCAACACAAGCAATACCACCAGATTTAGTGGGATGATGAATCGAACATTTCCAATTTCGTCCCTGGATTTTGTACTGATTTTCCTACAAATATGGCGGCAAACAGGGAAAAGCAGCAGCGCTGTTGAGATCTCGCGCATTGAATGGAGACCCTGGAGCAGCAAAAGAGAAAAAAGAGACAAAGTCATGTATAACACCGAAACTTTGTGAGTCATGAATCGATTGAGTACAATTGGCTGATAGAAAAATCTGGAGAAATTGGCGGAAACGGGCGTTTTTGTGCTGGACCAACATGAAAGCAATGGGCCGAAGGACAGAACCTCGGTGGGTGTTGCATCTTAATCCGCTCAAAAAAGAGGGAGACAACTCTTAACCCTTTGGGAAGAACAAAGATTTAGAAATCCAAGCACTGATTTGTGTAGCATGGATTGACACAGGAAACCCTCGACGATCACGCAACACACATTATGCTTGCTTGACTTTCCAGAAAGTTTCCCATCAGTCCTTTTCCTCCGCGGTAGTGGACCGGGTACAAAGCAGAAACATATGTAAAGAGGCAACGAGCCCACACGCACACAGTGCTTGAAAGCTTAGCTTAGCTCTCATGCAGCTATAGTATAGAGCCTCTTTTACATGTAGCGGAGCTTCGGAGCTTTAGTCACCATCTTTCAGGTTGGAACAAAGAGGTCATGGCCCATGCATGAACACCTGAGTTTGAACCTCAAGCTATCACTGTTACTGGATCGTGAAGTTTTCCACCATCGCACACGGAGACACAGAGAGAGAGAGAGAGATGCTCTTACCAGGCAATAAGTTTGATTGAATGATCTCCCAGAGTGATGGCAAGACGTTTTAGTATGTGGTCACACAGCTGACAGAGTTTCTTAAGATAGAGAAGTTTTAGTATGATCATACCGGAAGTTTTAGAATCGCTGTTATAAACTTATCGCAGTGTTGACAAGATGTTTTAGAATCATGTTATCACAGTGTTGACAAGAACTTTTAAAACCGATGTGATCACAGTGTTGACAATGGAGAGGGGATTACTATTGAAAAGTAAGTTTAGAATACTCTTCTCACAGTGTTGACAATGGGCTGTGTGATCGTTGAAGTTTAGGATGTTTCAGCTTTGAACGTGGGGGAGATGGCCGTTTTTTCTGCTGCTGGCCAGCAAAGTCAGTCAATCAGCCGCAAAGTATACTCTTTTTTTCCGCTCTATTGCTTGCTTTAAAGACGAGTTTTGGTCGTCGTCGTGTTGCATCAGCGGCCACTTAGCGCGGGGTCAATGGGGTTTTGATTGGGACCGCCGTGTACATTAAACACTGCAAATCCAAGGAATCTTGACTTAAAAACAGCAAACAGCCCCCAAGAGCAAGTACTAAATGCGTGATCAGCAGCGAGTTCGTTTAGAATTGAAACGTTCAAACAATCCCGAGAAAAGAAAGTTCCCCCCCAAATTCCTCTTCCTTCTCCTCAGAGGTACTTTTGCCCGTTTGGAATGGCCTGCTTTGGAATGGAATGGAAGAATGGAATGGCGGTGTGTTTAAGTTTACGCCGCGGAAGTTCCTCTAAAGGAGACTTTGGACGCGGATTTGACGAAGCGCAAAATCACAGGGGGCAATTGCGTGTGGCAACGTGTGTAGCCCATCCATCCACGTATAAATACTTAACAGTAGGTTACAACAAATAGCAGGACAAACAGTCCACTCTCCAAGAGCACAAAGTGGAGGAAGTGGAAGGCGAAGTGGGCGGTGGAAGGGGAATTGGAACGGACGATCGGAGGTTAGAGTCGATTGGGGGGCCGGATTGGGTCGCAGAATCTGCAAGAATTGATTGATCTTGGGGCCGCCCAGCAGTTCGATTTGCATGGCGACCACCATTCCCCCCCTGTTTAGGTGCCCAATCTCGCTGGAGCTCATGCGAGACCCCGTGACGCTGTGCACGGGGATCACATACGAGCGCAAGAGCATCGAGAAGTGGATCGCCGATGGGAATTCGACGTGCCCGGCGACAATGCAGAGTATGCCCAGCACGGAGCTTGTGCCCAATCTCACACTCCGGAGCTTGATCCACTCGTTTTGCAGCTCGCTGACCAAGGATGGCCGGCAAGAGGAGCAAGGCTGTGAAATTCTAGGAGCAGTGACGATCCAGAGACTGTGTAGCTCGTCAATTGGACTAGCGCAGGAGCTCCGGAGCGTGAGGAAGAGCTTGATCAAGCAGCAGCAGAAGATGAGCCCTCAATTGCGAGAGGATTTGATGGCAGCGGTCATGGCGGTGCTGGAATCGCCATCCAGTAGCAGCGAGATTGTCGAGGAGGCACTGGGCACTATCTTGTTCTTGATGCCCACCACCTCCTCCAAGAACGCCGACGATCACGACACACTGACACGGCTGGCGCGATCATCCACCGCAATTCTCTTGTCTCGCAGCTCCAGCACGGAGGCCCGGATAAACGCCGCTTCGATCGTCGAGAAACTCGCCAGCGCCGACTGCGATCTCAAGCTCCAACTGGGCTCCAGTCAGCCCCTTCTCGTCGCGCTCGTCGGGATGCTCGCGAGCGAATCATCCACCACGGGCAAGGGGAGGAGGAATTCGATGCCCCGCGCGGGGCTCGAGGCGATGCGATCGCTCCTGGAGCTCCGGAGGAACAGGGCCCGGCTCGTCGCGCTGGGTGCCGTACACCGGGTCATTGAGCTCTTACCCGAGCTGGGCAGCCGGTCATGTACGGAACTCGGACTGTCTGTGCTCGAGCTCCTGTGCCGGAGCGCCGAGGGGAGGGATTCCTTCGCGGGCCACGAGCTGGGGATGTTCGCGGTGGCCAAGAAGATGTTCCGGGTCTCGACCCTCGCCACCGAGCTCGCAGTCTCGATCATCTGGAGCTTGTGTAAGTTCTCCAGCAGCGAGGGATTGATGCGCAAGAGGGCGGTGGATGCGAATACGTTTGAGCGATTGCTGCTGCTGCTTCACGTAGATTGCAGCGCCGCGACTAAGCAGCAGGTGTATGAGCTCCTGAAATTCTTGCGCCAGGCGTATAGCGAGGAGCCGTGCATCATCGCGGCGCCGGATCGGGCACTGCCAGAGGCCGTGGTTCCGATCTATCCGCGGTTTTGAGAGGATGATCCAGCGAGTTTTTGTAGGAGAAAACACATTTTTTTGGATGAGCGATGCGCAGTCTCATTCACTCATGAATGTCGAGAAACAGACACTGGAATTTGGCAAGCTTTTGGTTTTTTTTCTCTCTCGTGTATGATTCTGTATATCAAATTTGTTGCTTCTTCACCCTCGAGAGCTGCCAGATTCGAATTCTCGGCGAGAGGAATTTGTTTTTTCGTTTGTTCGTGCGTGCGTGCGTGCGTGCGTGCGTGCGGCGGTGAGAGCGAATTGGAGAAGAAAAAAGAGATTTTTGATGGATGGATGGATCGACCAATGGATGGAAAAAGGGGGGAGACGATATTGGTGAGGATCAAGGAAAGAGTAAAATAATGGTGGTGATGTTGAGAATCTCTCCGGCTTGTTAGTGTTTTAGGAGAGCATGCTCATCCTCATCCACTTTGTGATGTGCTGCGCATTGAGCTGGATGATTGAATCGTAGACGAGGTCGTCGAATATCGCAGTGTCAACTTGGATGCAAACTTGCGCCAGGCACTTTGCGCAGCACTGCTGGCGATGGTGGCGGTGGTGGTGGTGGCTCCAGTGATCTACGCAGACGTGCATCGACGAGTCATGCTCGTCGTCAAAAGCACTAAAAAATGGAGCCTTGAAGACCTCGAGGCTCGGCAGCTCTGGCAACGGTTGTCTCCGAATCATCGCCGGCTTGTCCGGCTGCGAAATCTTCGACGCGTCGCGGAATTTGTCAGGCTCCACATTTCTGACTTGTTGATCTGTGCAAAACAACGAAAGCGAGGAGAGGAATGAAGACCGAGACTTTTGGAACTTGAAGAACAAACTATGCAAAGCTCGCTACCTGGAGATGGCTTGACTGCGGCGGCCACGTCGCAGTGGTGGAGATCTTCGTCCTCATCTTCGTACGAGACTGGGCGCTCGAGCACCGAGACTGGGCTCCAATTCTCAAACGCATCCACACTTGGTTTTGTTGACGAGCGGAGGTCAGAGCCTGGAGCAGCAGCAGTACTTGTCTGGCGAAAGAAAAAAGAAAAAAATGTGAGAAGTTCATTAGAAAAGTAGATCATCGTAAGTGAGACCATCGAGAAACAAAGAAAAACAAAGGAAAGGTGGGAAGAACCATGAGAAGCGCGATCGATCGCAAAGTACTCTCAAACAAAGAAGAACGAATACCAACGAGAAAGAAGAAAAGAAATATTTTGATCGATTACAAGTACAAAGAAGCAGAACAAACAAAACCAAAGAGAAAATTCACACAAACCTGGAGCTCGATCGATCGTAAAGTACTATGAAACAAAGAAGAACGAATACCAACAAGAAAGAACGCAAGGAAAGAAAAGAAAGCTTTTGATCGATCGCAAGTACCAAGAAGCAAGAACAAACAAAACCAAAGAGAAAAATTCACACAAACCTCTGTGCCTGGATCGTACTGTCGGAAGCTTTTCTCGCAGCTCTCTTGCGAGATTGTCACATTTCCCAAATCGCCACCATCGCTGTCCACTCTCGAGCTCACCGCCGCCGCCGCCGCCACTTCGCGCTTCTTTCTCTCTCGCAAGGTAAGTAATGCGGCTCTACTTTCACTTTGGTCCCTTCTAGGGCTCCATTCGTTTGAATTTTTTTTGTTCTTGGCGGGCGTCTCGCTAGGTTTTGGAGCGCCAGGCGCGGCGCCGACGATCCGATGGCGCTGATGCCGCTGGCCCCGCGCGGAGCTCGCGATCGTCGGCCTCATCAAGCTGGATCGCGAAACGGTATGGATTCTCTTCTCCGTAGCTGGAATCGTTGGAAGGAAAATTTTCGCGTCTTCTTGGTTTGCGTTCCTGTGATTGGTATTTCTAGCTGGTGTCTTTGTCGCCTGCGTGCTTCTAGCGCTGCCGCCTCTGCAATCGGCAGCGCTGGGAACTTTTTTTTCTCTGTTGGTGGTGAAAGATTGCTTTGGACGCTTGCTGCCAGTGCTAGTAGCTCCAACTTGCGTGATGCTGCTACTGTGTCGTGGTGCCTGCGTTGTCTTGAGGACGAGGATGGAAATTCTGGCCTGGGAATCAGTGCTCTGGGAAATCTTTTGATGGTGATGGTGAGGGCCTGGTTTGGACTTTTTGGATAGCTGTTTGGCTCCTGGCCTTGCTCTGAGCTCCTCCAGCTTGAGGAGCTCCTCGAAAAGAGACTTTTGTCCTCCCAAGTTAGAATCCCCAGGCGTGCGTTCTTCGACGGGGTGCTGCTGTGGATTGATGTCACTGTCATGTGCTCTGCAGTGCTGCTGCTGCTTGAGTGATTCCGATAGCTGAAGCCTCTCCAGCCTTTCCACGACCTTTTGAAACGAAGCTTGCTGCTGCATGGTGGAGATCACATCTTGCTTGGCCTTGGGAAAGTTTTGACTTTTCTGCTGCTGCTGCTGGTTTCTCTCTGGCGAGCTGTCGGTTTTTACGCCGGGGCCAAGCACTGGTACGTTGCTTTCGGCTTGAACTGTGGTGACGCTGACATTGGTTTTCTCTCCTTTTGAAGCAAGCTCATCTTTAAAAAAGTCTTCAAGCTTGCGGCATGGTCCGTCCAGATGAGTGTCGCTCAGACCCATCAGCCGTGCGACAACGTTTGTTCGCTGCTGCTGCTGCTGCTGCTGCTGCGAGTTCTGATACGTTTTTGACAGCATGCCAACGTCGAAGGACCTTCGAGGTGGCTCGTAAGATGGAGGATCATCTGGAGGGTCGCTTGTTCCGAGGAGAATTCGACCGTCAAGAGAACGACGGGGTGGTTCCTTTAACTTGAATTCGCTGATACCGTCGCAGGAGAACCTTGGAGGATCTAGACCGGTTTTGCTTCTGTCCTTGACGAGGTCGGTGCCATCTTGTGCCAATTTCCTGTTTAACCCGCTCTTGGTTTTTTCGAACAGCCTGAACGAGTCTCTCAATTTGGAGAGAGTGGACCGTCTTGGAGCCGCGGCCCAAGTTCCTCTTGCATCATCGGGAGTGAAAGTGAAGTACCTGTCTTCCGGAGGACTTGCCTTGCTCTTTTGCCGCTGGTTCTTAGGGAGGAGCTTCTCCTTCAGAGCGCGCGCCATTTCTACTCGAGCTTCTTCCGTGCATCGATGAATGTAGGTGTGATTTCTTCCTTGGTTGTTTTCTCCCCTGTCTAGATCACTTACACCTTACCTGACAGTGCGGACAAGGAAATGGCTGCTGAAAGAGCAGCGAGCAGCAAGGCCTGGAATCTTAGCGGATTGAATTCTTGTCACCAAGATGAAGCCAAGTGGAGCTTTCACAACAGTTAGCCTGGCATTATCTCTGGGCAATTTATTCAGCATGGAGAAATGAGGACGCCTATGATCTACCTAGTGTGTGGAGGATTGGACAGGTTCGCTATTGTCGTATATTTTTCCGTTACATCTCGAGTGATTGTTTTGATGTTGGGATTGGGATTAGAAGGGAGCTTCACTTTTCTGTGAATATGTTGCTAGAGGTGGGGGGTGGTCACGGAGTACTCGCACGACACAAAAAAAGGAGAGGCCAAGCTTTGAGGTAGGCAGGCCCGTGAAGGAAGAAGTTAATGGGACGCGAGAGAGGAGAAAAAATCATTGGTTTCAAGCAGTTACAAATGGTTTATAGTAATGATGAAAGTTCGAGCTATTTGAAAGTATGAATAAATTTATGTACATTTTGATTTTTTTATAGCTCTTATGTTCTCTTATTTGTGACCCTTAGTCGAGAAGCTGTAGTTTTTTTAGAGTTTTAGACATTTATTACATTTATTATATTTATTGTTCAAGAATAAGTAATTATTTTAATAGATATAACAATATATTGAGAAAAGTATAATTAAATATTAATAGTAGGAAGTGTTTAGAAAAGCTTATAAATTATAAACATGTTTATAAATTATAAATATAAGATTAATCTAAATGAATAACAACTATTAGATGGTAGAATATTTTAAAATATTCAAATATATTTTCGGTATATTCACTACTACCAAACAGACCAAGAAATTCTATTTCTGAAGCAAACCAGAAATTACTGTGCCTTACATATTTGTTTAATAATAATGTTATTCTTAGTATTATTATCAATTTAGTTTATTAATGTGTAATTCAATTAAGAATTCTCAAAAAAAAATTCTAAACAAAAAGTTAATATGAAACTGGATGAATAAACTACATTTTTCTTCAAAATCATCTATCAGAATAAAGTTTGGTGAAATTTTAAATTGCATTTAATTAATGCCTTTATATTATATTCCACAATAAACTTTCTGAATAATTACATAATTACATCTTTCTGAATAATCAGATAACTTTGTTGTCGTATTCTAATTCTACTCTTTCTTATTTTAAAATGTTGGAACATTAATTATAGAAATCATCTTAAAAACTGTCAAAAATTATAAGCACATTTATAGTTTATAAACCCAGGTCACTGTAAGGGCAATCCTAGGTGGCCTGCTTATGTGGCATGCTTCAGAAAACAAAAAATATGTCCACATATGTGTAAATAAATAGATTAGAATATTCTAGAATTTGCTGTTATATTTAGAAATTATATGTTTTGAGCTTCAAGTCGATCGGTTTGGAGACAACTATGATGAACTAAAAGATAGACCTCAAATCGAAAACATTTATAAATGAATCTATTTACAAAAATGTCTGAGTTTCATCTTTTTACTCCTCAGCAACAGCTCCAAGTTTGATAACCTTCTCTCAGTTGTGACCCTTGTTTGGACCCGATGGTGCTGTTGGAGTATTCTTGGGAAGCTTTTGGAAAACTTGGCCTTCCAGCAACATCTTCCTGTTACCCGTCGAATTGATCGCCACTTCACTGTTATTCATTCCAATCCCGAACAAAGATCCACTCACTCCACCATGGCACTCGCAAAGACCCGGAGAGAACATCACCATCATCACAAGGAAAGCAGCCAGCGCTTGAGTAAATCTCGCCATTCCCAAAGAGCCTAGAACGATCTCTCCGGATCCGAATCGCGTTGTCAAAATCTTCAAAACCGGTGATATGTATTCCTATGAGGAAGAAGGAATCGTTGAGATCGTAATCTTCTGCTCCTTCCTCCTTGAAGACTCTAATGATCGCCCGAGTGGAAAAATTCGAGTGATATCGATTCGTATGCTTGGAAGAACCCGTGATTGATCCACTCGAGAGCGTGCCCCAGCTTTATATTTTGGTTTTTTCACCCAGGAACTGCCATGGAAACGACTCGTGAACGCGCCTACGGCATGACAATGGTTGACTGGCCCTGTTTTTCTGGTTCTAAAGTAGCTGACTCTTGACCATTCAACGTTTTTTTTTCTGGTTTTCCCATATTCGTGCTTTTGAACGTGCACAATTTCAAGTTCAAGCGTTGAAAAACTCCGGGCTATTTTTGACGACGAATCTTTACCCGCTTAAGGTGGCGTGCGGAGCTCTTCACCGCTTAACTAAGAAAATTTACTGTGTCAAATGGGTCGGCTACGCGAAATGCCGGCTATGATTTTGCGGGAAGCCCACGATCTGGGACACCAAAAAGTGGCACTTCCTCGCATCCTTTTTTCCTTTTCAACCCGTTGAAATTTCTAAACTCGAGACCTTGCTGTTCTTGGGTGGAAGTTTTCTCCGGGTAAAACTCTAAACTAGAGAGTTTGGTGCAAGAGTTTCGTGGTAAAATTGCTGGTTGTTGCTTGATAGAGCAAGAAAACTTATCTCTGGGTGAAAGTAGGGTGACGAATGGTATGCGCTGGCTGGCCTAGGGTCAAAACCGTGTTTTATGAACAACATCTTTAATTGGTGGTGGCGTGGTAGCCAAGTTAGCACTCTTTCGTCTTCCAAGGGGAAATTCTTATCATCGCAGTAGAGTGGTAAGCGCTTTCTTTGCGCTTTCTTTGCTTTGCTTGATCTTCTCTCGCAAATCCCTGGGGCGTGGTATAAAACCAAAGTCGTCCATCGATTGATCGATCGAGAGGAAAAGCGCGAGAGAGAGTCAAGAGGAGATCATCTAGACACGATCGAGAGTGGTTTTCATGGCTCCACCGGGTCGTGTTGGAGTGGCTTTGTTGCTGGCTCTTCTCTTGGTTTCTTCCAGTTGTGTGTGTTCTTCGGCCAGGAATCTCCACGATCGCCACCGGCATCATCACAGCCTGGAAGCGATTCGCGTGGCGGCATCGGGGGCGCTGGATCGATGCACGAGAGCGCTGCGGGAGCTCCATGCGGGATGGAACGGGAGAAGCAAGTTCTTCGATGATCCTCCTCCTTCGGGGCCAAATCCTGGAGGAAATTGAGAGATACTTTGACAAGAGTCTCCAAAGTCTTGCATTTTTGCTGAGGGAAGAACACGTACACACACCAAAGGAGAGTTTTATTTTTGTGTTTAGACTTGGTTGGATCTATTCTTTCTGTACATAGTCGTGTCATCGAATTCTTAAACAATTAAAACTGGACTTTTGTTTGTTGCTCTTATCTCATCCACACCTGAATCTTGAGCATGACTTATTCAAATAGTCAACAAATCACGTACAATCCCAACGCTTTCAAACCTTGGAAAGAAAGCAAAGACAATCACAATGTCAAAAACTACGCGCTGATATTGCTAAAAGTCCCGGATCAACAGCCAGAAACCATGACTCCAGCTACGAACACCAAAACAGTATGAAAACAAAGCTTATTATTACTCGAGCGAAGAAGACGAGTTTTTGGAAGTAGAAGGTTTGGTACTTCTTTGGAAGAAGACTCTCAAAGTTGGAAGAAAGAATGCAAAGGATCGAGAGAAAAAACTATTTGACAACTTTGTAGATCTGAGCCAACGCGTGTAACACATTGTCCTGTCTCGCAAAGACTCTGAAAAGTATTGAGCACAAAGCACCAACCAAGCCGGGTCGTAGCAACAGTGCCAGAGAAGAATTTTAACAAACTAGAATTGACAAACTCACCACCACCGCGTAATTTCAACCATTGCGGCAAACACATTGCCTTCGACCACCTCGGCTGCTAGAAAAACAAAACATCCCTCTCCAGAGAAAAGAGCGTCAGAGTTCTTCTCAGGATGGTACCTCGGGTTTTGATGTTGCTCTGGTGCTTGATGGTGATGCCGATCTTTGCCAGGGACCAGGCCGGGACGATGGATCACGAGAACCTCGTCACGTTTAACCGGCTGCCCAAGAACATCCAAGTTCCTCCCTCCAGTCCCAGTCCCCGTGGCAATCAAGTCGTTTTCAGCTACGAAAAGCCCGACGTCTCGGCAAATGCTCCAGTTGGATCCTAATGCTGGTCACGCAAAGCACAATGGAATCGACGTGAGCACGAAGCAAGTAAACAATACCTCCCGACACACCTGGGAGAAAGAACAAAAGTTTTCTTTTCAAGATGTATAGATTAGTACCTGGCAAAGTGAATTTTAGACGTAAAACTAGGTGCTTTCTTCGCTTGATGCAGTGCAAGGTGGAAGAGGTGCGTCGCAAAGCCCGGGGTTTCCCATAAACGCCGAAGCCGAGAACCTTCCAACCTGCGGGATCTGGCCATGCAGACGATTGTTGGAGACGTTGAAGTATCTGAGCTCCGGCAGTGCCATGATCTTCATAGGAATCACTCCGGATAGCTGGTTGTCCGAGAAGTCCAAGTTGGACAAGCCCGAGCTGCCAGCCAGCGCTTCCGGGATCTGGCCGGACATTGCGTTCCGCGAGACGTCGAGAGAAACCAGCTTGTCCAGGCTAGCCAGCGACGTCGGGATGTCTCCTCTAAACCGGTTGTCGGACAAGGTTGCGAACTGGAGTTTTTTCAAGGAGCCGAACACGTCTGGAATGGAGTCCCTGAGCCGGTTTCCAAAGAGTGCCAGAGTTTCCAGCTCCACCAAGTTCTTGAGCGATTCCGGAATGGCACCCCTGAGCCTGTTGCTGTGGAGGACGAGCATCTCGAGGGACGTCAAGGCACCGATAGTCGACGGCAGAATTCCATTGAGCTGGTTGCTGTAGAGGTTGAGGATTCGGAGCTTGGTGAGATTCCCTATAGAGCTCGGAATGCCACCTCTGAACTGGTTGTCGTAAGCCTCGAACGTCTCCAGCGCGGTAAGTCCACCCAGGGACTCGGGGAGAGTCCCCTTGAGAGAGTTCCCGTAAACTCGAAAGTGTTCCAAAGCTTTCAAGTTGCCAATGGATGCCGGGAGGCTGCCGGTGAAGCGGTTGTCGGAGAGATCCAGCACTCTCAGCCTCGAAAGACGTCCTATCGAAGATGGTATCTCCCCGTCCAGCTGATTAATCTGGAGCTCCAAAACTTCCAGCCGCTCGAGGCTCCCAATCTCTGCTGGCAAGCTCCCGTTGAGCTTGCTGAAGTATACGTTGAGTGACTTGAGCTTTGTGAGCTTCCCAACGGAGCTGGAGATGGTCCCCCTGAAGAAGCAATTCCGGAGGTAGAGCTCGACAACGTGACCGGTGTCGGGGTCACAAGTTACCCTGGACCACTTGCAACAGTCCGCCGAAGAAGCCCTCCATGAAACCAGACACATTGTTGGGTCCTCCGTGATCTGCGCCTTGACTTTGAGCAAGGCATCCTTCTCGGCAGCAATGCATCCCTGTGCAAAGTCGATGTACCAGTGACTCCAGAGCAGCGAAGCCGCAATGACGAAGAGCGAAACCATTCTCAGCGGCTGGAGCGCTTCACCTGGCCAAAAAAAATCCCACATTGAATGTATACGAATCATGGAGAGAAGAGAACTTGCTTACGCTTCCGCCGAGATCTTTGCTCCGCACCAAAGAACGAAAGGAAGCTCCTGGAAAAAACGAAAGCTCACATCAATGTAAAAGACCAGCTCACGACGTAAAAGGAGTGATTAGAGTACGAAAAGCGGCAACCACTACACTCCGGAAAACTCCTCCTGTAAGAAAGCAAGTCGCTGTTCTAGTCCCACACGTCCAGCAAGGATTGGTTGATCCAAACTCCCACTAATGCGTGACCAACCAGTTCTCGTCCTTGTATCCATTTCGTGACCAGCCAGCCAGCTATCCAGCCCGTGAAATTCTATGCACACTCGAAGCTCTGAGACGCCTCCTCAAATGCTGACGATCCTTTCATTAGCCTTGGTTGCTGCCACTTATGCTGTTGTGCTGTATCAATCTCTAGAAGCTCCATCTTGCGACCCAGTAATGCTTCCGTAAATTCGTCCTGGTACTGCACTCGACCGGTCACTGCCGCCGTGCTTGTGGAGGCTGCCTTGCTCTTGTTTACTCTATCTCTGGACGATTCGGTGTTGACATAGACCGGAAGCTCTCGAACGTCAGGACTTGCTTTCACGCGGAAAGTTTTCTCCCGGTCATGCGCTGTTGCCAAACTCCCTGAATTGCTGCTTCCAACCACTGTTGCTTCTTCTGGTCCACCAGCCATGGCAACCTGTGAAAGAAGAAAAAACAGAAGTAAAAGTCGTTACAATCCGTGTCGCTATTCCCAATACAATACAAACCTTGCGGCCCAAGAGATCAATTGTCACAACAACTCGCTTTTTGCGTTCCTCCTCTGCCATCTCAAACTCCTTTTGCTTTTTCCTCAGTAGTTGCTTTTCCTGCTCCATAAAACACGTAAGTTTTTTGTCAAGAGAGCAAGAGCACTTACCTCCTCTGACACCCAAGAATCACCCTCGATCTCAAAAAAGTCGCTCTGGTCGTCAATGACAGTCGTGCGAGAAGCCGAGTTTCGATCGTACTCCACCAATCTGTCCTTGAACGCTTGCGCGGCAGCCTCGGCCTCCGAAGTTGGCAACAGACTTCCCTCCAGACCAGCATAGGCACTGCCTTCTTTCAGCACGAGAGCACCGCAAAAGCTGCATGGGCCTTCACCCTCTTGCTGGCAGACGATCTTCCCACACGACAAACAATTATTCACGAGCTCGTGCCGCGTTGCTTGGCAGTCGCAAGGCTTTCCGGGATTGAGGATCATCTTGCTTGCCTCCGCCACTGTCACTCCCTTTTTTGCTCTTCCAGAGGAAGCTTTTTCTCTTCTAGACGATGCAGCCTTTGTGGAAGAAGTTGGAGCAGCAGCGGCAGCAGCAGGATTTGCCTCGCGACCGCTAGCGACTTTTTGCTTTCCAGCTCGAGAGGCATTCTTCCCTCCGGCCGACCACGTCGATTCTTCCTGAGGCTTTTGATATGCTTGCAATGGCGTACCGGTGCTGGATTTGATCGTGGTTGGCGGTGTGGTCCTCCGTTTTAAATACTCCTCGACGATTTCCACGCACGATTCGTGTCCGACAATGTTCTGCCAGCAAAATCAATGAGAAGGCAATGCCGCATTTCTTCCCTGGAGATGGGAAACAGGGAATTCACAAAGGAAAGGAACTTACAACGATGTATTCCGCGGCGTCGGCGGGCGTGGCGAGCTCGCAGTAGCAAACCAGACTGGCGACGGTGTCGGAATCGAGCTGGAGGCCCAACGCCGCTTGATCGGAGCAAACGCGCATCAGCGCCGAGTGGAGCCATGCGCTAGAGCTCTCCTCGTCCGCCATCGCCTTCTCCACGAGCCCTAAAACTCCTAAAACCCCGGCTTAATTACTTAGAATTAAACACGTGGGTTTTATTGTTTTAAAACCTCGTCATCTCGCCGGCGCCTGTAGCTCAGTGGATAGAGCGTCTGTTTCCTAAGCAGAAGGTCACAGGTTCGACCCCTGTCTGGCGCGAGGAAATCCTTTTAGGGCTTTTGGATCTTTTTAGGTCTTGTAGTGACGACACGTGGCATATTAGGGTTTTTTTTTTTCCTTCTTTGAAAGAATGGCTTCTTTGGCGAGCGCTGTGGCGATGGCAATGCGAGTGCCGCGATCGTGTCCAAGGGCGGCATTTGGCGACCGGCGCTCTTCTCTGCTCGTAGCGCTCTCACTCACTGCTGCGTCCAAAACGAGGCAAGGTATGTAATGGAAGATTTCTCGCTCAAATTGTCAAGTATGGCGCTGCTAGTCCAGGAATCGAGAGGCTTTTCGCCGATAGCATCAAGCAACTGGATTCGTCGCTGGCCAGGGTCTCACAGGCAAGGAATATGGAGGAAGCTTTGATGACTGGTCTTTTTCTTTTTCTTTTTCGTTTTGTTAGCTCTCTCACTTGATTAAGTTGGTAACGTTTGTATTCTTTTTAGTGCCTGATCTGGAGACTATTCCATACCGGGTGATCAGTCGGCACTATGGCTATGAGATTCGCCAAGTCGAGGTGAGAGTCTTTCTTTCTTTCTGCTATAAATTATCGTTGGCTTGCAGTCATATCTTGTTGCCGAAACGAGCATGCCTGGAAAAAAAGGTTTTGAGTTCTTTGGCTCGTCGCAGGCGTTCAACACAATTGCAACGTACATATTTGGGAAGGCTAGCACCTTTTTTGCTAAAGCCAAGAGCTTTCAATCAAATTATTTACTCTTTTTCTCTTCGTTTTCTCTTAGAACACCAAGCAGCAGGAAATGGCAATGACGACTCCTGTGCTTGTCAAGAACGAGTCCATCAAGCTGGAAATGACAACCCCTGTTGTCTCAACACAGGTACTACACGTTTTTGTTTCTATGTTTCGTTTCGTCTCCTGTTTATACTAAAGTTCTGTTGATCTACACACAGGAAGCCGAGGATGAATGGAAAATGGCTTTCGTGATGCCGTCAAGCTACACGGAAGAAACTTTGCCTACACCGGAAGACAGCTCGGTGACAATAAGACGTGTGCCAGCGGCCTTGATGGCTGTGACAAGCTTCTCAGGTATTGTGACAAAGATCGAGCTAGTGCTGAAGATCACAGTACTTCTTCAGGACTGGTAAGCGACGAAGAGGTGAGGAAGAGAGAAGAAAAGATGCGGCAGAGCATCAAGCTGGATGGCAAGGTGCGAGTAAAACCTGGTGCTCGAGTAGAGGTGGCTCAGGTTTGTATAGATGAAACTATCGCTGGAGTGGCAATCAACACTGAAAGCTCGTGTGCGCCGTGCAGTATAATCCTCCTTTCACTCCGCCGATGTTCCGGCGCAACGAAGTGGCTCTGGAAGTGGAAGAAATACAAGATTGAGGTGATTAATACTCAACAGCTTTTGCCTAATGCGCCTGTAGCTCAGTGGATAGAGCGTCTGTTTCCTAAGCAGAAGGCCACAGGTTCGACCCCTGTCTGGCGCGTGGTATATTTCTTCCTCTCAGCTGGAGGTACTCCCAATCAAAAGTATTTTCTTAATCTCTTGAGTTGTTTGATGAGCAGGGAATCTAGAGTCACAAAATCGCTGTTGACAAAAGTGCTGCTGTCGCCCGGTTTTGCAGCACGCAAAAGAAAACTTGCTGCACCAGACTGCTCCAGACTGCTCCAGACTACTCCAGACCGCTCTATCTAGCTGATGTTTCGCCTTCCAGCACAGTTCTCTTTCTTTTTCCTTTTATTCTCCTTTTTTCTTGTTTCAGTGCTCGTTGCACAACAGCTGTTGTGTTTACGATCGCTGTTGCGGTTGCTGCTGGTTCGAGTAATATTTTCTTTTTCTATCGCATGAAGCTTAAAACTAGTTATCTATCTTTTCTTCTTTCCAGGGTGAAGACGCGGTCCACGATTTCTCCTGTCAAGCTACTAAAGAAAAGAAATATCACTGAACAACAAGACAAGGTTTCAGGGAGGTACGCTGCGCTCATTGGTCGATTGAATCTGGCATTTCAGCTTGTCTTTCATCAGGAAAAAGGGACAGAGAAGATCGAGCGTGAAGAAATCAAAGAAAACACGGGTGAGTATCGCTCGATTGATTTAACGTGATTTCGACCACAGAAAATACGTACCAAACGAGAGGAGCTTGGTCCTTGTTTAAGAAACAATATGAACACTCTTTCCCGAACATGAGAGATCTGGAAGAAGACGGCACGATCCATTTGACAGATTTTTAATAATGCTGCAGAGAAACTTGTGCGGATCAAGCGATGATGGAAATTCTATTCTATGGTTCGTGATCACTTTGGACAAAATGGTACTCGTTTCCTCTCGGGCATTTCACGACTGACTCAAAAAACGCACGTCTCTTCTTTTGTTCTTCAACAGAGAAAAAGGTCTGTAGATTTGTTTCAAGAGGGGCTGCTTGATTACGAAGAAATTTTTTTGCCAGGAATTCGTCCAGGAATGTTTTTGTTTTCCAGCGAAGCGCTCGAAGTTTTTCAATTTTATTGCGTACAACATGTGGAGATCACGTCGCCCGCCATTGATATGCGTGATTTTAATTCTTCAAAGAAGAAAGGAATTTCTCTTCCAGGAAAAAAAGGTGGTGGAAAAACTTCCACTCGTTTTGCTATGAGGAAGATGGGTATGGAGTAGTGACTGTGTGCCTTTTATTTGCTAAAGGAACTTTACTTATTCATGCACTTTACTTATTCATGGAAAAAATCTCTCTTTTTGCTAATTTCACTTTTTTTCTTGGATTGGAGCAACAAATAGCAGAGCTCTCAGGGAAAAGTAGGAAAAAAAAAATCGTCGAGAGAGGATTGTGATCAGAGAGCTACAGTGCTGCTAGCACTCAATCACATTTTGACAGAACGATCATCCAGCATTGCCTGGACGAAGAAGAAGAGGAGGAGGAGGAAGAAGGAATGAAGATCACTCATCCCAGAGCTTTAATTCCTTCCAGTGCTCTCTAGAGAGGATCAAGAGAGAAGTTCATATTGTCGTGTGTGTGTGTACGAGTGGTTCTTTCCCTCTTTTGACGAGCAATTGCGTGTTTGCTATCAGAAATGACAGGTTTTACACCGCAAATGTGATAAGGCCTGTTCTTCCCTCGCGGCCTTGCTCGCGAGAAACGAATGGATTTTGAGCTCCTTTTTCGTGGACCATCTCCGTCCTAGAAGCTTTTTGGAGCTGCTGGTGTTGTGATTGGTTGATGCCAAGATGTTCCATCCATCAATCTTTCGTTTTTCCTTCCTCTCCTCTCTGGCACATCTTTGTCACATTTTTGTCACACTTGACACAACGCTTAGTCCTTTGCAGCAAGCATATTTTGTTTTGTGAGGGGTAGCATGCCAGGCCTTACCAAAGGTTGGTTTTTTTAATTCTTTCTCCGCTCTCCTCTCGTTTTCTCCTTCCCTGCGAGCAAATTCTTTTAGATATGCACCAAGGTAGAAGCAAACCATGCAAGAAGAAGAGAAAGAACACAGCCCTTCCTGGCGAGAACAAGTTCATGAAGTTGAGGTTCACGGTGGTGGTGGCGGACAAGACTTTCTTGGCCTTTCTCGTGCTCATGGCTATTATGGTTTCTAGCACCGCCTCCAAGACCATTCAAATCAGTGACGATGGAAGCCATGACAATCTTTCACTTCCAAGTCCAAATGATCCAGGAAAGACTTGGAGCAACAGTGGCGAGCTCACAATTCTGGGCAAAAAACCTGGTTTGGCTGCAAGGTTGATACTACATCCACCAGAGACAAGGTATGGAGCTTCTCCCTCTTTTCTTTTCACTCTTTCTCGATCGATCCGAGCGAGCAGCGGGCTCCACGTTCTTTCGAATCCTGTGTCGATTGATCCGAGCAGTGCCTCACATTGGGTCTCGTGGGTGCTCCCCAGATTCGCGTTTGGATTCTTCGCCGCGCCTCGCCCGGCGGGAGCGTTCGTCCTCGCGGTGTTCCTCTATCCGCACAGAAGCGCGAGGCACCGGCGAAGAGTGTGGTGCGCCAGTGATGACAAGCAAGTGCCCATCCTCGTTGGCGAGAATGCCACGCTCGAGCTCCGCCACAACGCGCTGGTGCTGCTAGATTCGCAACGCAATCCAGTGTGGTCTTCTTCTTCGTCATCATCTTCTTCTTCTTCTTCCGCGACTTCACCACCATTGTCTTCCTCTCTGGAGCTTCGCAGCGATGGAAACTTGCTCGTCAAGGACGAGCGCGATGGCAGCGTCGCGTGGGAGAGTTTCCAGCGTCCCGTGGATGTTTTGCTCCCTGGTCAGGCTCTCGATCCAGGCATGCAACTGGTAAGACAGGATAAATCTCATTGCTTGCTTTCTTGCTTGCTCTAAATCTCTTCCAATTCTTACAAGATTCTTCTCCTATGGTGTCTTGCTTGCTTTCTTGCTTGCTCTAAGTCTCTTCCAATTCTTACAAGATTCTTCTCCTATGGTGTCTTGCTTGCTTAGATTTCTACTTTTCGATTGAAAGATTGAAAGCTAAAGTGAGTGTCACCATCTTGGAAAATCAACTTTGGATCGCTTTGGTGGTGCCACAGGTTAGTGGTCCTTACAGGCTTTCCATGGAATCCACAGGCCTCGTCCTTTACCACGGGACCTCTCAAGTATGGACATGGAGTCTCTGTAGCAACAGGTACTAGAAATCTTTCCTTTCCTTCTCCTTTGTTGTTCGCTAAAGCTGGTCCCCTTTTTTTCGAAGGAGATCTAGCTGCGATCTCTCCGTCCATGCCGAGCTGAGTTCCACTGGACTCCATCTCGTCCATGGACCACCTCCACCAGGAGCTCCACTTTCCTGTAGCTGTGATCCTGGAAGCTACGATCCCATCAAAGTTTTAAGCGGCCACTCGGCCTTGGCGCTTCTTCTCAGTGACGCTGGCGTTGTTCACGTCGACGTCGAGTGCTCCGAGAGTGACTCTCTGGTGTAAGTATCCATCCGTCCGTCCCTCCAAATCCTCTTCTCTTTCTTTCAGCAGCTGGAGCGAACTAGCGAGAGATCTCGTCCAGATAAAAAATCGTAAAGCTGGTGCTGCCTGTAAAGCATTAAAGTTGTCTGTTTTGTCTGTTTTCTTCCATCCAGATTCCGGATAGCTACTTACGTCGCTCGCTTAGTCTTTCCTTACGTAGCCATCACGTCTAATTCTCGTTTTGGTTCTCCCACAGGTCGAGGTCGCAGCGTTTTCTTTCCTCGAGACGCCACAGCTGCCAGCTTTCCGACGGTGAAAGGCCGTGCAGCATTTGTAGCAATGCTTCCAACTGTCGGTGCGCGGCCAACATCGCCACGGAAAACGTCCACAGCTTGCTTGCGATTTCCAAAAATGCTAGCGAGAACTCAGTAAGTTATCAAGAAAGAAAGAAAGAATTTCATCACTAACTTCGTTGCAAAGGTTCATAGTCAAGGACACATGCTTGAAACTCGCCGATCACTCGGAGCTGGAAGATCACTTCTCGCTAGCCTGTCGTTTCGAAAGCAGCCAGCAACACAATCTATCAAGGTATAAAGAGAAAACTTGAGCTTACTTTTCTATACGTTGTCTTGTTTCCCAGTATAAAGCAACAGTGGCTCTCTCTGGATTCCTTGGAGCTGCTGCCTTGGCCATTCTTGCGGCGCTGTGTGCCGAGAAGAAGCAGCCAGCAAAGGCACCTCAAGCCAAGCCTTCTTCCAAGCCCGAGATCAAGGACCTCTTCCCATCGGTTATCCCGCAAAAGTTCTCATTCAGCAGCCTCAGAAAGATCACCGAAAACTTTGCCAAGCAGCTGGGTGACGGCGGCTTTGGAGGTGTGTACGAGGGATGCCTCAAGGACGGAAGCAAAGTGGCCGTCAAAGTCCTGGAACAAACATCAACTCAAGGTGAGAAGGAATTCAAAGCGGAGATGAATACCATGGCTAGCGTCCGTCACGTCAACATACTGCAACTCAGGGGATTCTGTGCCGAAAAGAAGCATCGAGTTCTTGTTTACGACTTTATGCCAAATGGCTCGCTGGATAGATGGTTGTTTTCAGCTCCAGGTACGTGATCTCTGTTTCTTCGCAAGCAAAACGATTCATGTTCTCGTTTTCATGCCCGCAGGAAAAGGAGGTATCCTTGACTGGCCAAAACGTTTTAGCATTGCTGTTGGAACAGCGAAAGGACTAGCGTACCTTCATGAGGAATGCAACCAGCAGATTATTCATTTGGACGTGAAGCCAGAGAACATCCTCCTAGATAACAACTTTGTAGCAAAGGTTAGAAGTCTATTCTTTTCTCAAGTCCTACCTCTGGCGCTGTGTAGGTTGCCGACTTCGGCCTCTCAAAACTGATCGACAGGGACAAAAGCAAGGTCATCACCAACATGAGAGGAACGCCAGGCTACCTTGCTCCAGAATGGATGCATCAGTCCTCCGTCACCACCAAAGCCGATGTCTACAGCTTTGGTATGGTGTTGCTGGAGCTCATCTGTGGACGGGAGACAATCGACTTAACCAAAGGCTCGGAGCAGTGGTACTTACCGGCCTGGGCCGTCCGCATGGTGGAAGAAGGCCGGACACTAGAACTGGTTGACGACCGCCTCCAGGAGGAAATCGAGTACTTTTACGGAGACGATGCGAAGCGGTCGATTCGAACAGCGCTGTGCTGCATTCAAGAGGACCCTGTACAGCGACCGAAGATGAGCAGAATAGTACAAATGCTAGAAGGTGTGGTCGAGCCAAAGATACCTCAACTTAGCAGACTGCCGATTCAGCCAGCAACAGCAGCCTCCAGGATCAAAGATAAACTTGCAGCGCTCGCAAGCGCCATCTCCCAGGAAGAAGGATCGTTACAACCGTTCGGTGGCCCGGTCGGTGATCGTGCCGGTAAGAACGAGTCTGTTTTTTGGCCTCCAGAGTTTCAGAGTTTCTAAAGTGGTTTTTAAAACCAGGGGACGATGTAAGTTTCAACGCCTGGGGACTCAGTGGCGGGACTGTGGCTGGACATGCGAGAACGCTACTCAAGGCCAGGAACCAGCCATGCATTCCGCCTTGGCCAGTTAAAGGCGACGTTGTGATTGTCAAAGGGAGTGGAAAAGGTGGGGAGTTTGCTCACGCAGTCATTCGGGACGTCAAGGTTCGGACGCAGCAAGTGAGGCTGGCACTTTTGGAGAAGGTCGCTGACACAAAATGGGTGGTTATGGAGGAGGAATCGTTATGGAGGCAATGGAGCGTAATGCTGAGGACTCTGGAGTTCTGGGTGCCAGTAAAATGGACGACACTTCCCGGGTTTGGCCCTCAGAAGTTCCCAGTCGAGTGGACCTCGGATCAATGCTGAAACACAAGAGGTTCACGTAAGCACTGTATTTTTCGGAAGTAAGTCTTGCTTTACCTTTGTTCTCGCGAGCAACTGTTGTACATCGCTTTTTTTTTTTTCCTTGCTTCTGTTAAGAGAAAAAAAAAACTTGTTATATAGTGTTCAATCGCGTTCGTGTTAAATGGAGCGACAGCACAAAAGCAAAACATGCCTGTCACATTGTCGTGCTGTATTCTGCTCAAAGCTGCGTGTTCTTAGCTCCGCCTATCATGCAAAGATGTCAGAACTTTAAAAATTCACGAAATGAAAACAAACCGTCACAGTCGTTGATGGTTTGATCAATATCAGAACTCTTCAACCCAGGCCTATACTGCTCGAGGTGGTCAAGAAAAGGATAGGATCACTGCAAAAAAGACAGAGAGAGAGAGAGAAGATCCTTATTGCCAGTGCTAAGAGACAAATCCGTCACATGGAAACTCTGAGAAGTTCTTGGTGAGTTCCGCTCGAGATTGTCTAGTTCTAGACTAGCTGTTTCTGATAAGCATTTTCGTTCTCGAGCAAGATGCTTTAGCTCGGTCCGTGCTCGTACTGCATAAGTGCAAACAAAAACAAGGAACGAAAGGAAAATCAACCTTGGACACGTGATTTTAGATTGGCCAACGAAAATGTTGACCAAATTGCTTACAAGATGATTCTTCCAGCTGGCTGAAATGAACAGTTCAGTTAGTTAGGGAATCCCAGAAAGAAAAAAAAAAATGAAACTCTGTACCTTCGTGTTAGAGAAAGCTTCGGATGAAGCCGCTCCTTGCCTCCGGCTTGTCTCTCATATCCAGCCGCAGAGGCATGCTCATCTCGACGTGGAAGAAGAGCCCCCTGGGATTGTTCTCGTAGAAAACTTTGGCGTTTATGTTGAGAGTACCACCCAGCTCTTTGACATCCTTTGGGAAGTGAAGGATCACGAACTTCGCCAGCTCTGCTCTCATCCGGGACACGACTCTCTGATACTGCTCGTCATCGCCGACCGAGGCCTGTGATTTGGAGGAGCTGAGTATCATGTCTCCCTTGATCTTGTGAGAGGTCGCGTCGAAGGCATGGAGCTGGATGATTCTCGGCTTCGGGAAGCTTCTCGCCACAGCAGCCGTGAACGAGTTGAAATATGACATGGCTTCTTTGCCAAGGTCGACGTTTCTCCTGTGCGTGGTGTTCCAGGCCGCTGCTATGAAGAGGCTGCTTTCCATGAGCAGCTTGAATGCCACCTTGTGGATGTGAAGATCCGAAGGAGTGTGCATGGCTTGTAGAACGATATTCCCCTGCGCCGTGGCATTTGGTTGGCGTTTCTTCGGAAGAAGCTTCACGACGTAGAAACCGTTCCCTTGTCCCCTGTGCTTTGGAGACTCTGAGACAACTGCGAACTCCATTTCTCCGTCAACGATTGTTTTCAGAGAGAAGCCCAGGTTGTTCCATATCTTACTTGCTTCGGCCGCGACACTCCGGCTTACCAGGAGCTGCTGAAACAGGTTCTTTGCTGTCTCGAGGTTTGAAAGTGATGGCTTTTCGTAGTAGCACGCGGTACCTCCGACATAAAAGTTGGAGATTTCGTGTTCCATATGGGATCAAGCAAGAAAGACCTGTGAACAAGAAGTGAGGCCAGAAACAAGGAATCTATTGTCTAGTCCGCAACTCGTTTCGCGACGTCAATGTCTACCATTCTGCAGCAGAGAGAAAAGAGGAAACTTATGTCACAGCGGATGATCTATGCAGGATATTGAATATACCAGACAGGTCGAACAGTATCCCCGAGTGGAGAAATGCGATGCACGCAGTTGAGCATATCCATTGATGCTAGTTGCCTCCAGCATGTTGGTAGAATCCTCTGACTGAAAGAGCACAAACGAAATGAAATTAGGGGAAAACGCAGAGAAGCGAACTTATAACGAGATTCTGCTGACCTCTATCCGGGATTCCAATAATTCAAAAGATTCTCCAGCCCACGTAGCTTATGTGCCAAAGGACACCCACTCAACGTTTGTGCAGGTCCCCGCCAGCACTAAAGTGATGAAAGTAATAACACGGATAAGGCCCAAGGAAGCACGAACTAGTTGGTCACCTGTAGGAGCATTTCGTCACACAGCATTCAGTTCATAGCAAATCGGAAACAAAGACAGCTTACCTCTCTCGGGAGTATCTGTTTACGTAGTTAGAAGTTCTCGAATCTCGATTGAGTACCTTGAGCTATTCGAACCTTCCTTCCATTATTCTTCTTCCAGTTGTACATCTGTTCGAGTGAATCTAGTGCCTCGGGATCTGTAATAACTATCTATTTAAAGAATCGATTTCGAACCTTCTCGTGCCTGTAATGGCACGTCCATCTACTGGCTTCGAACTTGTATCCTTAACCCACCCGCTGATAATCCTGTTCACTTCTTCCGGAACTTCATCATGCGGACAATGGCCTACGGACGAATCACTTAGCAATTTGCAACGTAAAGAGACAGAACCGTACCAGCATTCACGATGCTCACTGTGATGTCTTTGGAGCATGCTTGTAGAGCCCGAGCTTTTCTAAAGGCGTTTTGCAGCGGATCAAAGATTCCCTAGAGACAATAAGCATATCAGAGAGAGAACATGATCAAAGCTTTATGCACCTGTACAATCAGCGTTTTTCCTTCGTACTGATTAAGCAAAAAGTTAAGAGGCAGAGGCAAGCGCAAGTAGAACATGCTTTCGAGTACAGATGTTGCCCCTGGATCAAATGACTGTGTTTTGTCAAAGAAACTGAGAGAAAAAACGAAAAAGAGCAAGTATAAATAGAGGATACTGCTCTTAGAGCTTCGCCAAGAATGCACTCGTCAACTCTTTCGCTGTGCTGTGAAATGAAATACAAGAAACTTCAACGAGTGCAAACATTGAAACAGACATTCTTACGGAAGGATAACAAAGCTTGAAAGCCGAAGCACATTGCTGCTGCAGAAAAAAAAGTAGAACTTGTAAGCTTGCCCGAGGAATACCTTTTCTCTTTACAGCCTGTAGATAAACATGTGAACCCAAGTTTGAGCCATGACGATATACTTACTTTAGCGACAAATTCATAATTGGGATCCACAATGCCAGCAGTATTTAGCAGCACAAGCGACTTTACTAAAGAAGACCAAAAGCCAGCTACCATAGTTGCGATATATCCTGCACATTCATAGTTAATCAGGGAGTTCAGCATTTAAAAAAATACTACCTCCCAAAGAATTTCCCACGAGTACAACAGGTTCGCCAACAACCTCGGCGATAAAATCTCTCAGGAGCTCAGCCCACAATAGCTCTGTATAAATAATGCCTGGTTTTTCTGATCTTCCGAAACCCAGCATTGTAATGGCCCAGACTCGGTTTTTATTCCCTGCGAGCTCTCTGATGTTGTCCCGATAATGCTGCCAAAAAGCTCCAAAGCCGTGAACTAAGACCACCGCGGGGCCTTCGTCACCACATGTAGTATACTGCAAAATTTAAAAGCGTTATGTTTGCCCATAACAATTACCGAGGATACCTGTATAAGAAAACCTCGCCATTTCCAAGTCTTCACTTGCCAGCCATTTCGAGCCTCCTGCAATTGTGTTTTCCTTTGAAGTAAGCTGTACCACTGGAAAGTTGCAGTCCATGAGACAAATTACTAGATATCAGCAAAATGTACCTCGATGAGTTTTACTTCGTCTATCGCAGTTGTGACTGTTTGAGATGAAACCCATTTGCTCGTGCTATACAGCAGAGCTTCGTGATGCATTCTTCTCAATGATATTGTCCCCAGGGCTAACACTTTGCCAAAGGTCGACCGGAATGATACGTCTTTTTTTCTCTGCAAGTGCTGCGTCCTGCGCAAAACAATGAGAATTCTGAGAAAATTCAATACATCAAGTTAGAGAGTTACCAACATCCTCCGATTGTATGTTGAAGGCTGTGGAAATTGCAGGAAGGCTCTTAGAGCGTGTAGAGCGTCGGTAGCACCGCATCCTACGAAAACGTCGTGTTCGACACCTGATAGGTTGTTTGCCATAACCTTCGGAAACCACGCATTAAGTTTCCTGAGCCACAATGGCCGCCTCCTCGTTGTCCTCGAACTTCTTTGGAGATACATAAGAGTCTCCCCTGCGTCCTTTTCCTTCAGAATTGTTAGCTGAGACTGATTAACGAGAAGAATAAAGTCTTCAACTGCCGGAATGCTCCCTGCACGGTTCACAATATAAGTACAGTTTATAAGAATAAAATCCCGTACCTTTGTTCACATCTCCTGGAAGTGGTGGCAATAGTGAAGGCGCCCCTAAAGGAGAAACCAGAGAATATTGCATGGCTTTGTACTTCCTATAGTCGTCGGAAATGAATTCCAGGTCCTAGAAACCAAGAGTTTGCATGAGATCAGCAATGCACTTCCAATTCACCTGGTTTTCATGAAGTGATGCTGTCCACTGTCTTAAAGCAGGCTCGTTCTGGCATTTTGCTTTCAAAACGCTCCATGTATCACACACAATCTTTCTCGGCCCTTCCTCGATCTCATCTTCCGTGAAAACATCGCGAGGGTTGACCTGTGCATTGGCAAGAGTCAGCGTCACCATAAGAAAACTAAAAGGAGTTCGATACCTGATGGACTAGTTTGTACATGACATCTTGCGCACTTCCAACTCTAATAGCGAGATCGGATCCAGCAGCTTGGAGAGCTAGCTTCAAGTCGGCCACCGCCTCCACGAGCGCCTCCACAAAGTCTTGAGACCATCCTGGACATCAAACCATCAGAAGAAAAAAAAAAAGAGGAAGGAATCTCTCCAAGCAAACCTCGAAACAGCATGGGGTCGAAGACAAAGAGCGGGATCACAGCGTCATATCCCGAGGACGCGGCGGCAACCAGCCCCGGATGATCATCCATGCGAAGGTCTTTCTTAAACCACACAATGCAGACCTTCCTCGAGCGATCTCCATCCCCACGACAGCTTCCGTTCCTCGCAGCGGCAGCCGGAGCTCCAGCATTGGCGATCGCGCGCCCCGAAAGAAAGAAATCAGAGCTGCATGACACGGAGACCTTCGGCTTCTTGGAGATTTTCGGCAGCGCAGCGGCAGGAACCAGCGCATCCTTGCTCGCCTTCCATCGCAGCTCCAAGAATCGCGATCCCGAGGCGGTGCTAGCGGCCTGCATTGGCGCCTAGGCCGCTCGATCGCCCCAAAAATCCCTAAAAAGAGGCCCCTCTCTTTCCTTCATGCAACAGTCCCTCTGGGAGAAGTATGAAAAAGTAAAAGCATATATGATCCAGTCACGCTACACTTCATGCTCAGAAGCTTTGTCACGTGTCATCTCGCGAAGAAACGCATAGCCAAGCAAAAAAATAGCTTAAGTAAAACCATAAAAGATTAGAACCATGAGAGAGAGAAAATTATATATTAGAACCATGAGAGAAAAGCAATTAAATTAGAACCATGAGAGCCCAATGAAGAACTTAGTTCTCTACCTGTGACTTTGTGCTATCACTTTCCAACCAAAGGATTGCCATTCCAGTTGGCAGTTTGAGCTTTAGTTGGCTCGACGATCTCATCGATTTTCTTGAATTGCCAGGGCCACCTAGTGCTGTAGAGCTGATCGAATCGGTTGTCATCCGGCGAGTAATTCTGCAAGAAGCCAAAGAAGAAAAAACAAAAAAAAAAGAAGAAATGATATGATATGTAGGAGTTATTGGTCAATTCTTGGCGATTGATCGAGTAGAACTGGATCAACTTTTATGGCTACCTGGCCCGGGTCAAGCTTGCCATGCCACCGATGGCATACGTCCTGCGGAATATCACATCGAAGCACACCTTAAAACGGCCAGTTGGTGGCCTAAGCACATTGGATACGGGGCCACAATGAAAGATCTTGCGTACTTGATGTTTCGAAAACAACAAATGCAACATATAGTAATGCGTCTCCGAGAAAAGGGAACGGGAAAGGAGTGTTTCAACTACCTGTGAATAGTTTTCTCTAATTGGCTCTCCCGCAAGAATGGGATAGTGGAGATTATTTGCACACCAGCGGAGAAATGATCGCAAATCCTGCTTGCTTAGGCCACCAACTGGATTTAAATCTGCCGAGCTACAGTCATACCAAAAGGACAATGAACGAACTTAATTAGAACAAGAAAGAATCCACTCTTCCCTGTCCCCCAAGGGAATAGTGATGCAAGCATATAGGCAATCACCATCCTGCTCCTAGCTTGTAGACTTTGTAGATCGAGATTCTGAGCAATAGCCATCTCCATCCAACTGTTGCCAAGAGGCTGAACATATAAAAATGAGGCCTACCTTGTAACGAGGAACTTTTCCAGTCAAGCTTGTAAACGGCGACACCAACGCTGATACTATTTTATCGATTTTTTGCGAGGCGAGTTGACCTGCACGATTGAGCGTCGGCGCTGAGCTGAAAAATAAAAATCTTACATTCACTTAACAAATCCGAAAAACTTTCTAGCCTACCTGTTCTCGGATCCCATGTAAAGAGAACACAACTGGAAATGAATTAGCGGGGCAGGAGGAATAGACTCGACGTCACTTTTAAGATCCACGGGAAGGCTGGAAGAGGTAACAGCGTTTCTGGGATTCATGTATATCAAAAAGAGAGAACTATTCTTTCACTCGCACTCATACTTTGATGGTGTTTTTTTTTAAATTCTAGATCGCTCACAGCTCAGTGGTGATCATCTCGTAATTCTGGAGGTAAGCTCCTTTTGAATCCGTGAACTTTGGATTGAATATTTGAAATCTTTTTCTCTGCAGGTCATGGTGGTGGGTCGCATGAAATTGCACCAAGCGCTCGAAAGGATTTGTCAAGGACGTGTTCAAGCTTGCAAGTGTAAGTGTGTCAATGACCTAGAGAAATTCAAACAAGCACACGCGCACTTCTGTAGCTTCCACACTTTTGATAAGTTAACACGAATAGGCTGCCATCGTTTTGTAAATGTAGAGCTTTCAAGATTTGGATTTTGTGCTATTAATGTGATCTCGTTCAAGTAAATCATTCCTTAAGCTGAGAGAGAACGAGAGACACTTAACTGGATATTGTTTGTGATCTGTGTAAAGCTTAGAGGTTCGTGCATCCCGCAAGCTCAGTTTCAATTGGCCTACACTTTTACCAGTGCCCATGGCCTCGGCAAGCTTGCTGTGAAGAGTCAGGTGCCTCCAGAGGATGCTGACAGTGTTGAGAACGGCCTAGGAAACGGCCTCTGAGTTGCGTGAAGTTGAGCTCTTTGAGACGCTCGTCCAGTTGCGGGAAAGTTTATTTGAAACTGTGAATCCAGCTTCAATCAATCACCTGTTGGATGTTTGATAGTCCCCCTTCTGCAAGTCCGAATGCAACGCATGCATAATTGTGCCATAAACCGCGAACTTAGTTCTTACGAAGTTAGCTTTCCAGTTTTAACCTGCAAACAGTATCACCCTTGCTAGTAACAGAATTTGAAACTTACTTCCTTCCTGGAACTCGAAATCCACGAAACTTGTCCCAGCTTGGACATTTAGCGAGCCATTCTTTTGAAGGTGAGAATGTGTAGTCACGGGAAAAATTCCCATCCACCAAGAAATTCCCTGCCTGCACTAGCTTACTATTAACAGGAGAGAAACTGGAAGAAATGCGTACCTGAGCTACTCTATTTCTGTACTTGTTGATTCTAACTCGAACGAGAGTGTGAGCAATGCTTCCACACCACCATTGTCGACAATGTGTTCTAGATGAAAACAAAGAGGAAGGAAAAGCTCTTACCTGATCCAAACTTAGAGCAAGAATGAGATGCTGCAGCTGATCAAAAGGTGGAAAAGCTGCCATGCTGCAATACTTTAGAACCACGCATTAAAAGAATGGAGAGCATTAATACCAATGTTATCTCCAACTACGAATCTAGACCGTGAGATGCTACAATCCGACGGTCGTGTATGGTTGTGACTTCGTGCTATCACATTCCAACCAAAGGATTGCCAGAGGCAGCCGCGGGAACTCCCATTCCAGTTGCCAGTTTGCTCGCTTCTTCAGCTTTAGTTGGCTCCTCAGTCACTACTGTCTTCGCAGCGCGCTCCACGATCTCATCGATTTTCTTGAATTGCCAGGGCCACCTAGTGTTGTAGAGGAATTGCCTCTGATCGAATCGGTTGTCATCTGGCGAGTAATTCTGCAAGAAGTCAAAGAAAAAAAGAAAAAATGAAATCGGCTGGACTGTTTTTCTTACACCATACCTCAGCATGATACGCAGGAGTTATGGTGGTCATTTTGTGGCGATTGATCGCGTAGAACCGGAAAAAGTCTTTGACTTTTATGGCTACCTGGCCTGGATCAAGCTTGCCATGCCATCGGTGGCATAAGTTCTGCAGAGAATCACATCAGTGTCGTGGAGGAAAGATGCTACGAAACACACCTTAAACATAGACACGGGGCCACAATGAAAGATCTTGCGGAGACGGCCATACATTGAAAGCTCCTCATATGTCATCCCCATGTCCTCTTCGTCAGTCTGCGAAAACGACAATGTAGTAATTCGTCTCCAGGACAAAAGAACTGAAAGGAGTGTTCAAACTACCTGCGAATAGTTTTCTCTGATTGGCTCAAGCTCTGCCGTCGGTGGAGCTGATACAACCTCCGCAAGAATGGGATAGTGGAGATTATTTACACACCAGCGAAGAAATGATCGCAAATCCTGCTTGCTTATGCCACCAATTGGATTTAAATCTGCCGAGCTACAGTCATACTGAACAGCATATATTAGGACTATGAACAAACTTAAACACATGCACTTACTTTTGTAAGATATCCTCGTAGACCTTCGTCTACGTTCGCGCTTCCTAGAACAAGAAAGAATCCCCTCTTCCCTTTCACCCAAGGGAGTAGTGATGCAAGCATATAGGCAATCACCATCCTGATTCTAGCTTGTAAATTCTGTAGAGCGAGATTCTCAGCAGTAGAACCTCCATCCACCTGAAAAAGCCCTGTTGTCAGGCGCTGAACATATAAAATGAGGCTTACCTTGTAACGAGGAACTTTTCCAGTCAAGCTTGTAAACAGCGACACCAACGCTGATACTATTTTATCGATTTTGAGATCCATATGAGAAGCTCCAATTTGCGAAGCGAGTTGAGCTGCACGATTGAGAGTTTGCGCTGAGCTGAAAACAAGAAAAAACTTAGTCAATCAACAAAGCCTAAACTTTTCTACCTGTTCTCAGATCCCATATAAACGGTGAAGACAATCCGGTTTGCAAACTCCTCGGCGCTTTTTGGCACCTTCCCATTCTCGTAGTTTCCTATCCTGATGGCATCGTTTAAAACTTGCTCATCACCTTCTTCAATAGCTACACACCAAAAAGATCAAAATCAAACTTTCCATGAAACTTCAGGCGAAGAGCATACCTCTTATTACAAGTTGGCACATCGATCCCACAATAGCGGCCACAGAGGAGCTATCTGCTCCTCCAGATAGCGGGAGGAGATATCCTGTCGCACCACAACGTCGCAAATAATCCCACAACCAGCAAGCAGGACCAAGAGCTATCTCCTCCTCGGGTAAGTAGTATCTAGGCTGCGTGCACGTAACAAACAAATAGATCAACCACTTTATCATAAAGTAAGGATCCCACCAGTATCGGTAGCGTAGGAAATAAAAGAAGGCTATCGTCCGGCCTAGAAAGCCGAAAATCAACAGAAACGTAGGGCATAAACTTATGCTGGCTGGCCTGTTCTCTTAAACTGCTAATAGATCCTCTGAAAGTCGAAACCTGCAAATTCGTGTCAACAGAACTAAAACAAATATTTTTTCCGATCTTACCGCGTCCAAATCAACACAAGCAGTCAAGACTTCCACATCGGCTAATGAAAACTGAGAGCCCTGGACCACCATATCGCCATTCACGAAAACGGTCGCACATCCGTCTAGCATTTCATGACGTAAAAAAACTTATTCACTGGAGAAGCAAAGCTTACCATAATAGAGACGGGCACCATCACAGCCTTGCTGGTTAGCGTATAGATAAACTCCACCAGCCTTATGCGTAGCTCCTTGCATCAACTCAATCCTTGTGTTGAGTTTTCTAAGCTGATGATGACTTCCACTCCCATTTACAATGATCTCCACTCCATTTAGTGCCAGGCCAATGTGTGGCGACCATGGAGTGAAGAGTTCTTCGCAAGTCTCTACAGCAACAGCTCTGAAAGAAAGAGAAGAACAAAAAAAACCAAGATTGAGAGCAAGAAAAACGAGCAAGACAATCACTTACGTATCCAAGAACGAAACGTAGGCATCACCAAACGTGACCGTCTTCTGCGAAGTTTTGGACCAGATGATCTCCGGGAGCTTGTACTCGATCACCGAGTTGTGATGCTGCCAAGCCGCGAACCATCTCAGCTCGCGGTAATTCCCATCGTTGGCCAGGAACTTCTTGGGACGAATGAGAAGGATCTTTCCATCGAGGCAAAAAACCCGGCAATTGTAGCGAACGCCATCGGACACAACAGGCATCCCGATATCACACACGATCCCATAGGTTAAATCCGAGGACAAAATTTCCGCGAGACACTCCCATCTAGAAACAACAATGCACATCAATCACTCCCACAAATCTAGAAATTCTAAGCTTACGCGTGAGCGCTGGTGTCGTTCTCCAGGAAGTGATCGTCGCAGCCATAGCCGGTGATTTCTAGCTCGGGGCCGACGCGGAGCACCGATCCAGCAGCTCGCGCCTGGCGGATGGACTCGTTGATCCGGCCGAGGTTGCCCTCGAAATCCATAGCCCATTGATTCAAGCTACACGTAGAGACCTTCACTAACCTCATTCTCTTGCTCGCTCTGGAACCCTAAAACCTCACATTGCCGCCACGTGTACACATCGTATGCTCCTGATCGTGGCCGTCCATTTCCAACCGAAAAGATAAGGCCACATGAAAGCTGCATTATTTTAGGACATATAAAGATGTCAATTAAACACCTAAATTGCTAGAAGCATCAACTTTTGGTTCCATAGCATGGAAAGCTCCCCTGAACTTTCCCCATTGTCACGCATGCACGCCGCCACCTCGCCGTAAAAACAAGAATGCACGTGATCCTGTTGACAATCACTTTAGGGTTTTGTCCTTCTAGGGCAAAATTGAAAATGACGGGAGTTCGATCCCCTTAAAAAAAGAAGAGGAACTTTCTCGCGAAATTTTGGGTGTTCCTTCTTGCGATGCTTCCCTCACGTCTAAAGAAAGCATTCCTCAATGGGCAACGCAAAAGAAATTGGAAACGGTCACGTTGAAGATGGTTGACCCTGGCAACCCGGTTTGGTCAACAAATTCCAAGATCACCACGCCACGTCCGAGAAGGCCACCAAGCAGCTGCGCAACAGCCGCCAGTCAAACGCATTCAAACCCCCCCGGTCATTGCGGTCAACGATCCCCTGTATGGCCGGCCAGCGGTTTATGGTCAATGGTCAGGCCGTTTGAACCCTTGCCGCTCGCAGCATTCACCGGATTCGGCCGCCACGATCGCTCGGTCAATGGTCAATGATCAAACTAAAGAGAACTTAAATGTTTTTAAAAACTTTGATCTTTGGATATTGACTCTGTCAAAATAAATCAATATATGCAACATCTCCATAAAGTCCAGGGAAGCACGCTAGGAAGCTTCCTTTTGTACTCGTCGCCAGGGATATCCCTGTTAGGCGCTACGTAGCTTTTCGGTAAACTTACCCCGCAGATAGCCCAGTTTTGCTCGCTCTCGAGGATAATTTACCACGTCTCACACACTATACAAGTCAAAAAGTATCTAGTTAAAACCGGTGGGCCTTCCAGTAAGTCGTCGTTCTAGAAAGTCTGTCCAAGGCACTTAAGCTTTTAAGGCCCTACTATAAGCTGCAATAGAAACAAGCACCCTGTGAAGAGAAGGGAAGATCATGAGAGGAGAGCTCTTCACTCACTTGGCGCACAATTAAGATAGAATCGTCCAGCGAGACTTCGTGGTGGAAGCGTGGAAGCGCAGCTCAGAGTAGCAGCACCCCCTTCGTTTTCTCGCGATTTCTCGCGACTTAATCGAGCAGAAGGAGCTGCGCACCTGAAAAGGGCGACCAGGATCTTAGCATAGAGAGTTTATAGACTCGGGTTTCACAGAAGAAGAGATTTTAGCCAAGCAACAGTAAAGTACCTCAAAGTCGGAGATGGCTCCAGCGAAGTTCTCCCCCTCCTCGTCACAGCTGCATTTGCCTGCTGGCTTCAGGTTCCATCCCACAGACGAGGAGCTCGTCGTCCACTACTTGTGCAAGAAGGCCGAGTCCAAACCATTCCCTGTTCCTGTGATAGCCGAAGTAGACCTCTACAAGTTCAGCCCCTGGGATCTCCCGAGCAAGGCCTACTTCGGCGAGCGAGAGTGGTACTTCTTCACTCCCAGAGACCGAAAGTATCCAAACGGTGCTCGCCCCAACCGAGCAGCCGGGTCCGGCTACTGGAAGGCCACCGGCACTGACAAACCGATTCACACCCGAGGCAACCGCAAAGTTGGCGTCAAGAAGGCCCTCGTCTTCTACGATGGAAAAGCTCCAAAGGGCGTCAAGACCAACTGGATAATGCACGAGTACCGGCTGGTCGAGTCGAGCAGCCACAAGCCGGCCAAGGATCACAAATCTCTCCGAGTAAGTTCCACCTGCCTGCTCTTATCCGAATTGGGGGCTCACTGTGTCTCGTCTTTTTTTCAGCTGGATGACTGGGTGCTGTGTCGGATATATGAAAAAACCAGCGGGGCCTTCAAAGTCATGGTGTCGTCGCGTCACACTGAGCCCGAGCCGGAAGCCGAGATGGAGCCCGAGCAGGAGGCCGAGGCCGAGGAGTCCGAGTCCGGGTTGGACGAAATGCTGGCAGCCTTGCCGGACATAGATAACTCCAAGCTAGCGCTTCCCCAGTTCTGTGCTCATGAGAACCTGATGACTGCCAGCTGCTTGCCCGACGATATGCCTGAAGATCTATCCAACCGAAGTGGAGTGCCCCAGCAAAGTCAGTACCACGACGACTATCCAAAGAGTTCCAGCTCGGAGCCGTGTTTTGGCAACACCTCGGAGCTGAGTACGTACTGGTCCCTCTATCCGCAAGGCAATCTCTTTGGAGGCTGGGAGCAGTCTCCAACACTGAAAAGAGCACCAAGTACGATCAGCGACATCTTGGAACACATGCAAGCTAGAAAGAGGATAAAGGTAAACCTTGAGGACGACGACGTCCAGAGCACTTGCAGATCACCTCTTCCTTCCTGCAGGCGGCAACAACAGCAACAGCTTTACCCGTTGCTCTAAGTCAAGTAAGGATAGAATTTTTTTTGAGCATGCTGGAGAACGTTTTTTAATGGCTCTCGTTGAGAGAGCACGCAAACGAATGCTCGTAATGTACAACATGCTTTCCTGTAACATCAAAATATTAGGCAGATATGCTAAAACATATGCTAGATATAACACTTGTCTCGCAAACCCATGCATGCTGACGCCCGAAACCACTGTTGACTTCAGTTATACCATAGCCTGAGCTTGGGCTGCTTTCGAAACTCCGCATCCCAAACCTGGCATTTCCCATGTGGTTTCTCCACGTGATTTTCAGGTAACATTCCTTTGTTAGGAACCATCTGCGAAAAAGAAAACCAGGATCAGTGAAGTATGATGAGAGAATGTGCCAAGAGGAAATTGACGTCAAACTCGTTACACTTACATATTTTCCTCTTGGAAGCTCAGCTTTGACATATTCATCTCCGACGAATACTTGGTTGTACAGGACATCGTGAGAATACAATGTGCTGCAAACATCACAAACAAACAATTCAGTTATCTCGTAACTTGGTGCCGAGAGAAGGACGGCTCACTCAGGCTGCGAAATGACAATCTCGGAACCATCCTCCTCATCTGCCTGAATATGTCCCCACTTTGATGCGCGAAACTGGTATGCTGGCCAGTACTTCAGATCGAGCGTTTCTTTAGTCACTGCCTGGTCTGCAACAGGATCACCCATGAAACGCTTCTCCGTGTTTTCCTGTCACCTTGTAAGTTAGTATCTTACGTGCAAATCAATGTGACTGACTGACCTTTGTCAAGTCGTGCTTCACAGGGTCGCATAACTCCTTCACCGAAAATTTAATGGTATGCTTGAGCGGTTCAAACGGATCGTAGTCCGGTCTCGGATAGTCCCGCATCACCATCTGCTTGTTCGCAATCGCCATATATTGATAGTGGAACCACCCTGGACAAACAGAAGATGAGGTGACATGTAACAACAAAACAAATCTCCTGAAGAACGTACTTAGCTTGTCCTTGATATAGTCAGGGGATATTTCTTCGAGAGAGTCCTCGATCTGCCGCTGAATATACTCGTACACTTGTACTCGCCATTGCTCGTAGAGCAACGAATGCTTCTCATGGTGTTTTCGATCCGCGAGATTCACCAAGTCACTCATCAGTCGCATTATGTGGCCTTGCCGATTCTCCAAGCCGCTGATATAAGACCGGTACATCTTGTTGTACTTGGCCTCGGCTCTCCTCCGCCTGCGTTCCGCGGCCTCTTTCAGCATCTACATAGCAACAAAGCCAAAGCATTAAAAAACTCATACAAAGAAGAACTCGTTCTGAAAGTATACCATTCGCGAGCTGATAGTGAAAGAAAAACGTTGGTGGTGGAGAGAAAAACCTCCTGTTCTTGCGGAGTGAAGTTCATGAAGTTGTTGCCGCGGCCTTTCCTGGGAGACAATCCTGCGTGCTCACAAAACCATCCTCGTCTCACTCTATAGCCGCGAGGTCTCCTCTTCCACTGCAAGAAAGAAAGAAAACTAACAGGGTCTAGATTTGCAAGAAAAAAAACTAAACAAGTCTAGTTCTTTCTAAGAGCAAAGAAACCATACCTTTTTCTTCTTGAGACGAGGAACTTTGGCTGGATCGGGCGGCGGCAATGGCGAGTAGACCTCATCCCGCGTCGCCGGGCACTTTCTAATCCACCGGGGAGGCTTGAAGAACCCAAGAAAGGCCTCTGGATTCGTCATAGTGATCTCACCATGGGGATTTGGCTCCTCGCCGGCCCTCTTTGCCAATGCAGGCTTGAAGAAGCCCAGGAACGCCGCGGGCTTGCAAGGAGAGATCTCACCTTGGGGATTCTCGACCTCGTGGGGCAGCTTCTTCTTCTTCCTCCTCATCTTGATCGGCCTGTCAGGCTCATCCGGCGCTGGCTTGGCGGCGGGATTCTTGCCCCGGACCGGCAATGCGGGGGCCATGAGAGCTCGATCGATGGAAGCGGCCGCTCGGCGCTGCTGGAACCCTAAAAAGCCGAAAAGCAACGAAAAGAGAGCCTTTTTGAGCTGGCGCAATGTAAACGCGCCAAGTGGATTGCTTGTAACTGTGGCTGGTAAAGAGGTTAGAATGGATCAAACGATTGGACAGTGCTTTAAAACCTCCGCATTTGATCATGTTCTTCGTGAACTTCACTCAGATCGATCAGGAGAACGTCAATGTTTTGACCATACATATAGATTGACAATTTTAATTTAAACTACAAAACATTTCACCACTAAGACATTGTCACGGTCAAGATCAAAACAAATTTAACTAAGAACTTTGTTTCTTTTTATATCTGTATAGCGCATCTTTGTGAATTCTCATACATGACTTTGCTCGACGTCAGAATCGATTCTCATGGCTGTGATTCTGACGTCGAGCAATGTCATGTATCAAGAATCGCATTGCTCGACGACAGAATCGATTCTGGCTGCTGCGACGTGGAGTTTGCCTAGTTCCACAATGATCCATCAATGTTGAGCTTAGAATCCCACGCTTTTGCTTCCAGCCTTAGAGCAAAAAATCCATCCATTATACCTCTTGTTTTGCTCACCTACGAGATGGATTGTTTCCGAAGTACCACGCTGGTAACGTTTACTCAAGAGCTTGAAGAACTTTTGACCCAGTATGGCGTTCCATACGATTGCCATGAGTCGCAGACTATAAAATCTAGATTCCATCTATAATCAAGTGGCAAAGTCAGTGCACAGTTCTCATATAAAAAACACTGGAGATCTTGAAATTTTCTATCATACCTGTGATCGCTAGTATTCACCAAGAGGGAATCGTAACTTGTAACACAATACATATAGCGTATCTTACAACATCACTGTGGTAGAGAAAACTTTCTACTATTTTTCTAGTGGAAGTTACTTCGCTCTATGCCAATCACGAATGCTGCTTGTGCGAGCGCAGCCAAGACTCCCGCGGCCAGCATCGTTGCCAGTAATTGCGTACTCACTTACAAAGGCCTGGGAAAACAAAGAAAAAATGGAAGAAATGGACTAGAACTATACCTTTGGTCCATCGTTTCTACGAACTGGTTATTGAAGAGATTACTGCCACAGTCCTCGTTTGTTCTCATAGTACATATTTGCTAGAGCTGGAGACAATGAGAGCAAAAGTTTCTAAAACTTAAAGCATATCTCACGACGAAGTACCTGGACAAAGATGGAGATTCAAAGTTGCGCAAAGTTATCAAGTTCGCTGGAAGTTTGTCGAGAGTTCTTTGTCTGCGCACCATTGTTGAAACCATATTGGCCAAGCGTCCAAGTCTTCTGCAAGTCCACTGGAAGCAAAACAAACGCCACGCTAGAATCTAGACTTACTTGGAGGAACTCAAAGTAGCCGAGGCCAGTCCCGCTAAGTTCAGACACACAACGATCTCTTGAGAATTTAGCTGCAAACCTGGGAATCGTGAACCGGAGCTCGAGTTCATGAGAGTTTTCGTGTCCCTGGACTTGTGCCGCCGCTTCATACGTGACTCCTGGGCATTTTCTAGAGGAGGAGCGGCAAATAAGGCGGTGCTTGGATCGCGAGTCTCTCCTCTTCGCGCTCGCTTCAGAGAGAATAAAAGAGAAAATTAATCTCGAAACCATCTATGCCGTTGATAACCAACGGCTCTGGGCTCATCCTTGGGGGAAGCGATGGCCCGATCGGATTTGAAGGCGTGAGGAGGAGGAGGCCGCTGGCGACCGGCAAAAGAAACTAAACTTGGTTTCCCAGTAATTCCCGATAGAATTCCGGGTATTTCTGTTGGAATTTCTGGGAATTCTTGAAAATTGGGAATTCCTCAGGGAAATTTGCAAAATTTCCATGAATTATAACTGTTGATTGCAATCCAAAATATGTATACAGTAATTGAATGTAACAATGAATAAACTCCACTACTACAAGAGATGAATCCCTCCATTCACATCATGTGGGAGGATGGATTATAAGATCATCCCATCATATCCATTCTTCTGCAATATGCTGCCCAGCTTGGTGGTCAAGTGGAATCATCCGAAGGCTTCTACTTTCTCTGTCAATAGCTGTGACGATACCGAAATCTCCTGCCATCCATTGCACCACATTGTTCACTTGGGGATAGATCGGCACAAATCCAAGTTGTCCAAAGTCCAAGATTTGTTCTCTAAAGATCCTGTCGAGCTTGGACCCAATGAACTTGATACCACCAGGGTATGGAGCTGGGAAAAACAAACCAGTAATGTTGTCCAACTTCTTTACTCTGTCACAGAGGCTTCCTAGAAACAAAGTGGCATATAGGATGTTCTATCGAGCTCGTCTGTTTGTTGGTAGCATCTCATTCTCATGTAGAGCTGGAGGCTGTTGTCTCACATTCAAACATAAAAATTGACTCCACCTTCCCCTAGTGCAACCCCAACTTCCCTTGAGAATAAAGTTGTCATGGAGAAACACCTCTTAATCTTACTCGAAAACTCTGAAACTTCAGAGCACCCAAGCTCGCCTAGAATGTCACACGGTGAAATCTCCAACACTTATAACAATTGAAAAACTCACCAGCAATATCATCTGGAATTTGCTCGTGGATCTCTTTGCCCCTTGAGATGACAATCCTTTGCTAAGAAGGCTCTTGTGTCGCTCATCCGAAACATGCCTCAACTTCCACAAACCTTGAGCAACTTTCTTAAATTGAACTTTCAACCGGCCACCATTTATATCCATCTCGGAGGGAGCTCCCATGTATTGAAGCTTAGAGTCGATGATGTTGTGTGCTCATTTGCGTGGCAAAAGTTGATTATGCACCCACAAGTTTTTGTAACATAATCGTTGCTGCTAGGTTCTTTAAGTAGTAGACCTCCAGTGGTCCATGTTCGAGGATGCCATCTAGAAACTTCCCCATGCTAAGCACAGCTGCTTCATTGCCTCGACTAGCCACATGTCCCAGCCAGCCCTTGAGATGCTGAAAACAACATCTGTGATCTAGATCGCGAGCTCGCAAACTTCTAAAAACTGCCTGGAACAGTTGCTACCCACCCTGTTGCTGCCAATGCACAGCCTTTATATACTCTTCACCTTTAAAAGACAAGCATTTGTTCCTCTGGTTGCTACTAGAAAGAACAGGCCACTTCAAGACATACTCGGTTGCAGCCTTGACATCTTGGTAGAGGTTCCTATTGTTGAAAATTAGATCAATGCAATCCTTGTTGAAGGCCAATGCAAAGAGATGAAGCTCATCCTCGATCATATCTTTGTGAGTCTTGAATCCATATAGGGAGTGAAACCTCCACAATGGGCTCCTCCTTGAAAATAAAAGGCTTAAAATATGCAATCTTATTGATCATAGCGATTGTGTACTTGTCACTCCAGGGTCTCTCAAGTTTGTAGGATTGTCAAATGCACGCAAGAATGAGCTTGTACTTAGGCAAGCAGCAGGAAAGCGAGCTTACCTTTATTGAAGGCATATATCGATGATCCAGGGATAAGACTAGTTTCCACCATACACCTATAGAGAAGATACAAATATTAAAACACAATTGCTAGGAGAAATGAAAACACAAACTTGCAACGTCCATTCATTCCCTTGTTCACGAATTTGCCAACCTCACAGTGTGCATTGTAATATCCAGCCCATTGCATGAGCATTGCTCTCAGCATGAATGCTTTCTCAGCTTTGCCATCCACCACCTGAATTCCATGCTTGAACAGCTCTTCAAGCTCACCCACGATGATGGATACTATTGTTGGAACAACCTCACTTACTGTCTTCCCATCAAACTTCCTCAGTGGCACAAAAAACAATTGGAAAAGGCCCGAGATTCAAAAACTTTCCAGCATTGAGGATCCAAAACTCTGTAGCACTGCAGAAAGTAGATTCAAATTAGATCATAAAGCATAATCATACAAATAATTTTAGAGAGTTTTTTGTCTTTGAAATGTTGAAACCATCCCAATGGCATTGGAGAAGGAGGTTCTTGGGATCACCTTGAATTGCAGCTCATTTAGCAATATTATCTTCGCCACATGAAAAGCATTGGAACCTGGAAATCCTGTTCTCTACATCCCAAGTTATCACCTCACACCTATCTGGGAAAGCTTGGTGTGGCTGTGAACAGGTCAAGCATCGGATAGGTAACTCAAAACTATCTGATGGATCAAAGAAATCTCGCAACCTCTGGAACTTGTCACCATCCCAGACATACCACATCTTGGATCACTGCTAGTATGCCTCTAGAGTTCCTTCAGCTCGTAGCTAAATTGCATGCCTTAAAGTGTGGCTGATTAGAAGAACATCTAGCGGGATCATGTTGTTGCGCCTCTACGCACAACTGTCACATTTCTCAGCATGCTCACTTGGGGAAAGTTTTTCGCTTTATGACTTGTTTTATTGCTCTTCTCTCCTGCCATCGAACTGGATTTTTGTATCCCACTGACTTGTAGATCTTCAAAACAGCTGCATGTGAAGTTGGGAGCTATCGTCCGTCCAAACACTCATCCCACTCACTTGGAAATCGCCACAACACCTTGTATAACGAGGCAGTCTCATGTTCAGTGTCCTCCCCAAATAGAAGGCTGGAAAGCTTGTTTTGAGACTGGATTGAGTAGCGATGCTTCATGCATAACTTCGACAGTTATAGAATCTTGAGTTTTAGCAGGTTCTCATTGGAAGCATTGGCATCTTGGACTTCTGAGGATTGCTCCATCTGGTCAGCTTCTGCTGTAGACTCGTCGGCATTGGCGGACTGATCATCTTCCTCATACTCAGAGAGCTCTCCACCGGATTTGTCATCAAAGAACGCTTCATGCTCACTACTAGTTAAAGCCTGCTAAAAAATGGAGATGTCATCATCTTCATTTCCGTCTTGGTCTAGCTGCTCCTGCTGTATCTCCTCTCCCCTTTCCTCTTGCAAATGTATCACTCCCATACTATATACCAGGGCTCTCTGGCATGTAAGCCTTGTATTTCAATGCAGCCGAGATTATGCAAGTTCTACACGGATTAAGCTGGAAAAAACTCTTGTAACTAGATCATGCCTAGAACTGGAATGCAGAGCCATACTTGGTGGCAGTACTTAGCTTTTCTTGACTAAGCTTATCAAATCATCATCCCTTGCAAGTTTTTTCCTCACATATGACTGTGGTTTTCTTTTAGACTGATTCGAATAAAAGGTCCGTGAGTTTTCCATTATTACTTTTCTTCTTCCACTAGATAAACTCCCTTTTCATTGTCCTCTGCAACATGCCTGCAAAACAGTAAAGACTGGCCTGGAAATTCAACAAGAAGATTCAGCCTCCTGAATAAGTGAAATTGATTACTCACAATCTCTTATCCAAGAACTGCGAGGAAGGGAAAAGGATGCCTCGCTGTAGACATCTTCATAAATCAGCTGCAGCATGTAAAAAAACCAAAAAGAATGAGAAGCTCTACAAAAGATACTCACGTCTATCAAGTAAACGATAATATCGTTGACAGAAGCCATCAGCCACATTGCATTCTTTTCGAGCCCTGGGTGGCCAACACAGTAATTTCCCCGAGCTCCTCCAAGGAGAACTCATTACTCCAGATTCCTCCCAGTGAGCGTTCTCGCACAGGCAAACAAAGATACCAGCAAACGCTCTTCCAAAAATTATGGTTACTGCAACAGGAAGCTGCTCAACGGCTTGACCATCGGCTGATCCTGCATGACGCTTGACGTGCTCCACGAATGACTTCGTGGTGGAGCCGCGCAGCTCTTGGAGCTCCGCATGGTCGCTCATGCCTTTGGTGGTCATGGCCCACTGTGGATCAAGCGTCCTATTGTCACACTCTCGTCACTCCTCAGCCAGTATACTCTTCTGACATCTCCTCGCGCTTGAGAGTTGTTGATGGCATCGCCATTCTCCATCCCTGTGATCATCATTCACGATCACTTCCTGTAGAGATCGATATCTCATCCAAAGCTAAGCTCCATGATGCTGTTGTCACCTCGCACATTTGGCGCACAACAGGCGTGAGATCAATATCACCAGCCAGTACTTTCAGGACCGTGTCGAACCACTGCGCGAGTCTCCGAGGCATGAACCTTGATGGTGGATCCAAGATGTAATGATTCCTCGTAAAGATCACCAAGGCACTGTGTAGATCTGCATGCTTCTCAAAATCAACCAGCCATTCAATCGACTGCTCGTAACTCTTGCCGCAAAGATGAATCAGCAGCCAGATATGAACAAGATCGCATACTGCTTCTGTCAAACAGCTTGGCCGCATCTTGGATGAGTGTTTGTGGCAAGTTGAGGGAAGTAACACCACCGCCTCCACCATGTTGCATTTACCTGCAAGTGCTTCTTCGCTCGCATCTGAATTGAAGCTGGTACCATCCTGCAAGAAAGCATTTTAGTCAAGATGCAAAGTGCAAGTCAATCAAAAGAAGTATCAACGAACTTTTTGGCGGCTTTAAAGGCAAAGGAAAAGGGTGGCAGATTCTGGCTATGGTAATCACCAGCAAAGATTACGAGCTGCACAACATCCGGTGTGGGCATTTCAAGGACGTGACGAACAGCCTCGTGCCAAATCCTCCACCTGAGATCGCAAACTTCGACCTTTTGCTGGGATGCTATGCGATAAAGCGAGTCGGTGTGTTGAGCTGCTCTCCACCTTTTTAAAAGGATTATCCATTTAGATATAACCTAAGACAGTAAAACCACAACTAAATTCCAATGATCGTTGGGTCACGATTGACAACATTCGCACATAAGGTCTCTTATTTTCTCTCAACTCTTTGGAGCATTCGTTTACGCCTTCTTGTTGTCCGCAGTCATCCTATCTCCAGTTCCAGCCAGAGTTTCCTTCGTTTTATCCGCAGCCTGTTTCACCTTGTCTCCCATCTGTGAGATCCAAAATTTCCAATAGTTTGTCAATCGTCTTTCAGCTAAGAATTGTTTCTACCTGCTGGAACATACCGCTGGCTTGATCTTTGGTTTGCTCCATCTTTTCCTGAGCAGTGCCTTTCATGTCCTGCGCATCAACACTCTCGGAGTGAAACAAAAGAGAAGAATAAACAGAAAACAACAATAAGAGAAAAGAAAACACTTCACCTCTTTCTTCTGACCGGCTTGGTCCATCTTGTCTTGAGCACTCCCCTTGAGCTCCTGATAAACGAAACACTTGGGAGTTAAGATAACACACGAAAGCAGACAGAGACACAATACCTCTTTCCTTCCCTGCGCGCTGTCCGACGACATGTTGAAAAAGAATTAAAAAAACGAGAAACTCCCCTTTGACCGGTGGGATGGCTACGTCGCAGCAAACGCGCGCACTGATGAGCGATGGATTAGTCCCAAAGCTGGCCTTTTTGTAGCTACGGCGAGCCTTGCATGCGACCTGACACGTTTCCTCGCCATGGAAACGGAAGGTCCTGTTTATTCTGCAAAGTGATCGTCATCAGCAACAGTTTCCATGCAAAGAATCCTGGAAAAAGAAAAAGAAAAAGAAAAACGAGAACCTGCCTGTTTGTCCGAGACTCTTCAGTACCTGTACAAACGGTAAGAGTAAACTAAGAGGTAGAAGCATTAAACAACAACAAACCATGACCCACCTCTGCGTGAGTGGGTGCCAAGCTTTGATGCTGCGGTTCTTCACGACGATAAATATTCGATTCAAGCGCATAAAGTGTCTCCCAGAGGAATAGAACCAAACTCTCCCCATTTATATCCTTCATTCCGCGTGCGTGGTGTTGTTGTTGTGGTCCATCTTTCCATCCTCCATTTCCCATCCCAATCCATACTGTTATGTCCTGGTGATGCTTTTAAAGACGGTACCACACGTCCCATTCCAAATTCACTTCCACCTTCCTTCATCTTCTTTGCCGCCCTTCACTCTTCTTTTTCTCTTCGCTTCCCTGTTTGCGAGCTTTTTTCTCGCCTCTAGAAGCCTACTGACCAGAAGATTATGTACCAGTACCACACTCTCTCCAGAAAGCTGCCGCCTTTCCTTCTCAATCAACATTGCTGCGTAGGTTCCGCTTGCTTAGCCGCCACCGCCACCACCACCGCGGGATCAAAAAGCTTTCATATTTTCTTGCCGCTTTGTCGCATCTACCGGGCCTCGAGATTCTATTTCCCTCGTCCACCAGTCCGTGAATATAAAAGTCGGGGCGCCGTAGAAAAATGAGCTGTTAAGCAGCTCATTCCATGTACCTTGCTCGAAGGGCCCCTGGAAGCACACGAGTAAAAAGAAAAAGAGTGAGAAGCTTCAGCAGTAAACAACGAAAAATACGTACCTTGAACTGTAAGAAATCAAAGAGATACACTGTGTAAGAAAACAAAGAGATAGTTTGAGCAATAAACTAGAGAAACTACGTACCTGGAAACCATGAACTGGTAACTTTGCAAGAAATCAAAGAAATGCCGTTTCTGCAGTAAACAAAGAACGCTACGTACCTGGAAACCATCAAACTCTGTCAGAAAACAAAGAGATGAAAGAATGGTCAAGTTCCAGCAATAAACAAGAGAAAACTGGAAACCATGAACTGGTAACTTTCCCTCACGCAATCCCAGAAAAAATGATCTCGCGGAGACGGAGTTACGCGTCGAGGATTGTTGCAGAGATCCAAGCGTGGGGCCGCGGGTATCAGTCTTCGTTCTCGAGCGTCCAAACGTTCCAGACACAGAGTCGGAGATATAAAGCTGACCACAGCTGGAAAGAACCAGACGTCGCCGCTGGGTAGTTTTGGCCTCTTTTCAATTCCAGCGCTTGTCTTTCCCTCGGGTGTCCTTGCATTTCTCCTCCAGCTTCCTTCATTATATCTTACGTCCTCTTTCTTCTTCTCCTCCTAGACTTGCGTGAGTAGATCTTTCCCCTTTTTCCCATTTGCTCCTCGCAAGCAAAGCCTCTGAGAGAGCCCTCTGAGCTGATTGAGTAGTCGAGAGATAGCGCCATGCTAGTACCAGTCCAGGCCTCTTGTCTTGTTGCTTTGCTGCTGCTACTCCTCTTTGGATCCGGCATTCATGCCCAGCTCTCTCCAGGCTACTACAGCAGCTCCTGCCCCAATGTGGAGTCTATCATCCAGCAAGTGATGCTCCAGAAATTCAAGATCACACCCAACAGCGTCCCTGGCACGCTGCGGCTCTTCTTCCACGACTGCTTTGTCGATGTAAGTCCAATCTCCCTGTAAGTTCTATCCCCTTCAAAAGTCTGAGTTTTCGAATGGAATTCGGCCGCAGGGATGCGATGCCTCGGTGCTCATCGCTTCCACGGCCAGCAACAGCGCAGAGAAGGATTCCGAGATCAACTTGTCGCTGGCAGGCGATGGCTTCGACTCGGTCATCAAAGCCAAAGCTGCTGTTGAGGAGAAGTGCCCCGGGATCGTCTCTTGCGCGGACATTCTCGCCATTGCGACCAGGGACCTCGTTGTGCTGGCGAGTGATTCTCCTCCATCTTATCTTCGTGTCCAAGGAAAAAAAATTCCTTTTTTTCTCTTGGTCTTTGTTCTCCGAATTTTTTTCTTGCATTGATTGTCGGGATGGCAGGCAGGAGGACCATCTTGGACAGTGAGGAAAGGCCGCAAAGATGGAAAGATCTCGCAAGCTTCAAGAGTCGACGGTAACTTGCCAAAGCCCGAGCAATCGGTCGACCAGCTCACCAAGCTCTTCGCTTCCAAAGGACTCTCTCAAACGGACATGGTGGCTCTCTCAGGTGAACTCCCTTCTCCTTCCTCTATCAAACTCACCAAAGAAATCTCTCAGGAGCTCACACCATCGGCTTCGCTCACTGCAAGGAATTCATGAGCCGGATCTACAACTTCAACAGCACTCACCAATTCGATCCCGCAATGGATCCCAACTTCGCCAAGGATTTGCGGCTCACTTGCCCCCAGTCAGTGGATCCAAGAGTGGTCGCCAACAACGACGTGACCACCCCCGCCAAATTCGACAACGTCTACTACCAAAACGCTGTGAGAGGAGTCACGGTGCTCGCCTCGGACCAAATCCTCCACAGCGACGCTAGAACAAGGGGCCTCGTCACGGCATACGCCGGCCAGCAGGGCGCATTCTTCGCCGCGTTCGCCACCGCCATGGACAACCTGGGAGCCGTCGGCGTCAAGACTGGAAACCAGGGAGAAATCCGAAAGGACTGCTCCAGATTCAACAGCTAGCGAGACTCCGCGGCGAGCATTCTAAACCCTAGCCCTAAACACGGAATCATTGTGGATATACTTCGTTTGAATTTGAATTTCTGGTGGTAAATGCGATCCGCTTTGGTGTGTATTGGGAGCCAGCGCTTTTGCTTTTGTGTGTACTGGGAGCCAGCCTCTTTTGGGCGAACATGAAGCCACCACGAAGTGTAGCGGCATGTTTGGTTGTGCTTTCTCCTTCCTGCTTGCTTCTGTCGAAGATCTTAATCCCCACACTTGGCAAACATAATATTGATGCCCAGGGGAGTGTCCTCGGGTAATCCGTGCTCCGGGATGATCCCGAGCAGATTCCGCAGGCGACGCTGATCAATGTGATGTTGTCCGCATGGCGCGGAAGAGCTGGGGCGATTCGGAGCTGATTTTGGTGGTTCTCAAACAAGCTCCAACTTCTGCATTAAACTGAGTGTGTTTAGCATCCACCAGCCGTGTCCAAAGCTATTTCTTGATGTAATCCTTGAGCCCCTGCCAAAGCTTCAGGAAACCTTCGTAGGAAGATTGAGAGATCTTTTATGTTGCGTTGCTCGTCAGCTGGACTATTGATGAATCTTTTGGAAGTGCTCGCTCTCTGGCAATTCATTCCCATGAGAAACTTTGAGAAATCAGCTTCCCTGTAGTGTTGGAAACCAGCGTTCTCCTTGTAGCGCAACGGATAGAGTTGCAGGACGAAAAAGGAAGTAGAGCCTCAAACTTGGCTACTAAAACATTTACCACCAAAGTTGATAAGCTAATACCCTTCCCCCTCAGGTCTATATGGCTCGAGTGTGTCGTTCCTCCAAACCGCAACCGGGTGAGGGGAGAACATCAGCCGTGTCTCCTCATCAAAATCACACTTGAACCCCGAGCAAGCGCGAGTGTAGACGCTGGGCAGGTTCGAGAGCACGCCGGCCGTCTCAGGCGATGTCACCAGGTTGTAGTCGTTGCACAGGTCCTGGACAATCCCCAGTCCCTGGCTCCTGCTCCGCGCCTTGCACACGTACATGCGTGGCCAGTCCATCCACGCGAAGTGCCACTCGTCTTTGAGGTCCGTGATCACCACCCACGGCTTGAGGGTGCGGCATTTGATGTTCACTCCCAGCAACATCACGAGCGCCCTCCATATGTGCAGCTCGTTAATCTCTTCCTTGATAGAGTAGCCAATGATGACGTCCTCGGCCACACACATGTACACGAGCATCACGTCCAGCGCGAAGCGGAGGGTGTAGGGGAACTCCTCACCCGCGGTCGAGCTCCATATCTCCTGCACGAAGTCTATGCCATCGCCGTCAACTACATGCGGCAGCCTGAAAAGATCGCCAACTTTGGCATGCTCCTCCAGGTACGTTACCATCTCCCGTGGCCTCCTGCTATTCCACCCTGCGAAGGCTTCGCACTCGATTTCCTCCCGTGGGTTTAGCCACCCTTCCCCTCTCATAACCTCGATCTTCACCCGGGCGAGGACAAGCTTACAGTCTTCAAGTGTCATGAGATGGACCTCACACGTTCTGTTACGTTGAATGCTAGCTACTCCAACAGAATCACTCCGGTGGAATGTTAGCTCGTCTCCGGGAAAGATGGCGGCGTTACGTTCCAGAGGACGGCCGTCCCTCACCAAGAAGCCTCTGTCCCCCACCTTCCTCCACGCCCTGTCTGTAATCTCAAGAGCCTGCTCCCCTGCGTCTGGAATATCAAACAGCGCCAGAAGTGACCCGTCTACGCCCCTGACCTGGCACTTGCCCATCGGATGCGGCAGCACTGGATATGACTTCATAGTCTTGAGTAGAAAGACGCTAAACTGCAGGCAAGAAGTCGGGTGAGCGGCCAACACATAAAAACGCATACCGGATTTCCCCCTGAAGCAATCAGAGCGCCTCGACCCTTGATTCTCGCGTGCACCATGCTCAGGCTCTACATGTTACACAAGTGATCTCCTCCGTACGAAGAAACAAATGAAACTTAAGCACTTACGTCAGTAGCCAAACGAGGTTCAGCGCACACTACGGTCCACTTCAAAGACTCCATGTTCAGTCGCATGGTTTCTTCTGTAGCGCCTAGTGTATAGATAGATATAAGAGGTAGTCGGAGCATGGAAGAATTAAACTTACCACCAACAAGATAGCACTCGTCTCCAGTGGCAGCAGTTGCAAAACGTGCTGCAGGTACGCGGGTCGGACCTTGATCTGGATACCAGGACCATTGACGCTGCAAACATTTTGGCCACTTGATCAGAGCTATATAATAAGACTCCGTGCTTACATTTACGAGATTCAGTGCGTATAGGTTCTTGCAAAAGCCAGATGAACCAGCTCCAAAAAGGTAGAGATGATCGCCTTTATGCACCGCAGCATGGAAAGCAAGCGGTGGCGGGATGGAGCCACTGCCACATGGAGGTATGGAACTGCGATCTTTGTATTGGATCTGCGTACCTTGCGTTAACCAGCTCCCACTGCTTGCTTTCCAGGTCGAGTGCATGTACCCGAGGCTGCAGCTGACCCTGAAAGTCCACACCGCCATACACCCATATTTTGCTCCCGACCAGGGTGGCGGAGTGACCACGAGTTGCAGCCTACATAAATCCGCATGAAGATACAACGAGACAGTCTTGAAATGCTTACCGGAATGTCTCCCGCCGTTTCCACAAGTGACCACTCATTGATATTCGTGTCAAATTCATAGACTGCACACACGGAGATTGATGAGCCCAAGGCATGAGAAAAGAGGAAAGCAAAAGACCCACACAGTACCGCGCATCTTTTCATCAGACGGAATGCCAACAACGAGAAAGAGCGTTCTTCCACCTGCTAACTGCAAAGCTCGTCGACTGTGTTTAAGCAAAGCCCGCTAGAAACAACTTGAATAGCGTCAACTCACCAGGCAATGGCCGGCGCACGACACGGGACAAGGTTGGGCTGTCGACCACTTCAAGCTTCCCAAGTCCAAAACCTCCACGAGAGTGTTATAAAAAGAACTTGAGAAAGATCCACGCTACTTAAACTCACCAGCACATCGTTCAAGTATCGGTCCGCGGAGCATCCTCCCACCACATACATCTTCTCCTCGATGGCAGCCGCGCTGTGCTGCAAGGGATTCAAGGTAAAAACCAAGCACAAGGACCAGAAAAATAGCATACCAGGGATCGGGCTTGTGGGAGAACATCTATCAACTGCCATTGAGGCGGCGGATACAGCCGCTTAAACAAGTACCCAACAAAAGGGAAAGCCATCTCTTGAAACCCTAAAAATGGAAGAAATGGAGCTCGATCCCATTCTCGACATCCAAAGGAAGGTAACTTTGATCTTACAGTTCGTGACACCTAGACCGAGCTATCAGATTTCGAAGATGACGTTCAATGGCATTGACAGACACCAAGTGGCTGTCCGTAAAAAACCAGTTGGTATTCTCCGCCGATTTCTCCGGGACTGCCGACGCGGCAATTTGTCTAAAGCAATCTATCGATGCAGAGGTTCCGATCGAGGGCGCAAAGAGAGTCCGAGAGCGAGCTCCTCCTAGCGGCTTGGAAGTCTCAGCGGTTCCGGATAATGTGGACATGCAACCAGCGCATCTTCAAGACCTGGCTCGCAGCACCTGCGGCTCTTGGACTCCTGAGATATGCGCTAGACCATCCGGATGGAATTCTTGGTGCCATGAATAATGTTGTTTTGACTATTTTGTAGGCGGCTCAGCAGCCTGAGCGCTTGCCACTCCAGAAATGAGCTGGAGGTGACGACGATTTCTTTCTCTTTGTTCTTTTTCCAATTTTGGGGGTGATTTTCCTTTGAGATGCGCTTTGCTTGTCCATTCGCTCTCCCTTTTCTTGTGAAATTGAAGTTTTCAGCTCCAGCCAACGCCAACACGAAGCAGCTCCAGCCTGAATCCACGTCCCGAACGGCACCCTGCCCATCGTCGTGAAGGACATTGCTTGCTCCAGATGCCCAACCCGGGCATATGCGCTGAGCATCAAAATCCACATAATCACTTGAAAATCTACGCTAGCAACTTACACATTGAGCAGCGAACTCCACGAAACGCAGGTGATTTAGATTATGCTTCATTCTTGCATAGTTGGAAGATTGTGCTTGTATCCGCCAAGACCCTTAGATGGGGATACGTGGCAACAATTTTTGGTTGTGTTTTATAGCATGGGTTACATTTCAATTGTGCTACTTCCATAAGAGAAACAAATACTTTATCAATTTGGTAGAATCGTATATAGTTGTTTTTACAAAGGGACATAATACCCCACCATAGTAATCATATTAGGGTGGTTTAAACTTGAGTTGAACTCACGAGTTTTCAACTCAACACAAATTTACATAAGTCAATGTAATTAATTAGAGGTTTTATAAAGGAAATTTAAATTACAGAAATAAAGTTTTTAATGAACTTTAAAGTATTGAAAAATGTAAATACATGAGTTAAAAGTTTCTATTAGATTATGATTATTGTTACAACTGTCATATTTTGATTTGATTGCTTTATATCTTGATTACTTTTACAATTGTCATATAATTATAGACTATTTCCTCATTTAAAAGTTTTTTTTAGGTTTTTCCATCTAAATTTTTCTTGATGAAAAGCAAGAAAAATTGTGAGTAAGAGTTGTAATGCAAAAGAATGTGAAAATGTTAATTTTATTTCACTACCATAATTTCTATATTACACTCCATCTAGGAATGTGGAAATTACTATTACTATTAATAAAAGTGCTTTTGTTATTTTTGAAACAACAGTCTAAAGTAAGAGAAATGAAGAAATGGGTAGAAAGCTGTCGCGAATGTGATTTCGGGTATCGAAAGATACTTGTCGGCTAGTACTTACGGACACTCTCTCCTTACTGCCACAACGGCAGAAAGTTGGTACTGTTGGTTCCCTTTATGGTCTCCGCCCAAGCTAGTTGAGAAACTGGTCAGCACATGTGCACTTAGACCGGAAAGGCACTAAGGAAGGAAATCCTAAGTTGTCATTAAGTCAAGCATACTTGACACGGTGATGAGAAACTCATGATGTTGACTTGCACTTGCTAGTATTGGGAACCCCCGCAATATTGAGACTAGTCCCTCAATATTCGCTAAATAATAACTTACCGTGTTTGCCAAACACCCTCGCTATCACACCCTTTGTGTTAGTCTCATTTCGATCCCAAATGCTATTTATGGAAAGTGTCTAGATTTGCTCATTTGGCATATTTACAGAATGTAGAGGTTGGCTTGAACACAATGGTGTTTGTCCCATGTCCAAATTCGCAATCTAAAGACATTCCATATTTAGTAAGTTTCGAACTTGTCCCAGAGACTAACTCTTGGTATTAAGGGAGGCTTGGGGTGAAAGCCCAAAGCGTGTGTCCCTCAGAGGGGGGGGGGGGGGGCTGTGGGGGGTTCGGGGGGGGGGGGCTGTGGGGGGTTCCAAATATATAATATATAATAGGGATAGTGGTTGGAATGCATGTCCGACCACCTGAAACATTAGTTTGGCTCCCGCTGGGTTGTGTCGCTCCTTGTTCTGGGTCCGGCTTGGGTCTAAGCCTAAGCTCCACGCTGCTCTAGTCGGTGGAGTACCCTCCTTCTCGCGTTATGCCACCGGTATGCCAAAATTGTGCTAGACTCCGTCTGACACCATTTTGCGTGTAGGTGCTGGATATGGGGAGCTGGTGCTCGTGGGATTGTACCGGACCCTCGTTCGTAGTGCGAGTTCGGCTCTAAATTCAGGTGCACTACAAAAGCACCAATAAATCTATTTCATAAAACTTTTTATGACATTTATAATTTATATATTAATTCATATCAAGGACTTTGGTGCTTACCTATATCACAATCCTCTCATATGAGAAGACTAAGGTATATTTTTGAAGTGAATCCCTAATAAGAGTTTTTGGGAGTCATTTATGTAATAATAAAAGAAATGATGTTTTTTTGAAAGACTCAAAAGTGATATCACATTAAAGAATCAATTTTATCTACATTTCCAAGATTGAAATGCAATTTCACACAAGAAAATGGCAGTATGGCAATGTGCCCTACCACAATAGTGTAGTCTATATTCCCTGTAGTCTATTTCTTTAGAAAATTGGCATATGTAGAAAAGAATATATATATATATATAGCAAAGTAAATTTTCATAGTGGGTATTGTCAAGACCCCCAGCAAGATCAAGACTGGAAAATGCTAAAGACAAAGAGAAAAAGCTAGTGAAAACAAAGAAGAAGCCTTAGACTGGTGTTGATTCAGATTGTGGAGAAATGGAACAAGGCTAACCTATATATACTATAGGTTGATGAAGCTCCACCACTCTTGGATCAAGGACGGCCTAAATATAGCTGAGGTCGAGGAGGTGCCACATCATCATCAGGAATGTGGCTCGAGACTCAGGAATCGGGAAGTGTCTCGAGAGTCAGGAATGTGGTTTGCAGGTCAGGAATCCAGCGAGAGTCAGGAATGTGGCAAGAATTGGGGGATTCCTGACAGCACCCCCTCCTCAAGAACGAGTGGAACGAGGATGTGAACGAGAACGAAGAGGAGGATGAGATGAGCGGCGAGGGATGGGAGATGGAGAAAAAGAATGAGGACTGGGATGAGAAGGATAGCGGCGGTGGAAGTCCTGAACAAGGTCAGGAGAATGAATCAGGTTGTCCGCAGGTTCCCAAGTGCGTTCCTCAGGTCCGTAACCCTTCCAGTCCACCAGATAGTAGAGTTTAGACCGTGAAATCTTGGAATCAAGGATGTCCTGAACCTCGTACTCAGACCCATCCTCGAGCTGCACTGGTGGAGGCGGAGGAATGACCCGATTTGGAATAGGACTGGGAATATAAGGCTCAAGGAGAGAGGAGTGAAAAACGGGGTGAATTTGATATGAGGAGGGAAGTGCAAGGCTATAAGTGACAGGATTAATGATGGCAGTGATAGGGAAAGGACCAAGGCGTTTGAAATCGAGTTTTGGACAGGGCCTGGTGGTGGAGATATTTCGCCTGAGGAGCCAGACTTTATCCCCGATATTGTAAGGGGGACAATCCTGATGATGGACATTGGCAAATGTTTTATGAGATTCTTGAGCACGGTGGAGGTGGAAGGAGATGGAGTTGTGGATTTCCTGGAGGTTGGAGATAAATGCCTCAGAGCGGGGATTTGAACGAGAGGATTCAGATGGAGAAGGAAGTGAGAGATTGAATCGGGGATTTCGGCCAGAGTTTGCAAAGAAGGGGGAAACTCGAAGAGAGGAGTGAACAGAGTTGTTATAGGAGAACTCAGTAAGGGGAAGGATATCGAACCAGTTATCCTGATGATAGTTGATGAAGCACCTCAAGAATTGTTCCAACGTCTGAATCATTCGCTCGGACTGCCCATCAGTTTGAGGATGATATGCCGAAGAGAGGTTGGCCTTCACTCCAAGCAGCTGCAAAAACCGTTGCCAGAAATGAGAGATGAACTGAGGCCCCCGATCCGAAACCACATCTGTAGGAATCCCATGAAGTCGGAAAATTTCCCTGAATACCAGTTTTGCCATGTCCTCGCCCGAAAACTCCTTGGTACATGGCAAGAAGTGCGCCATCTTTGTGAAGCGATCCACCACGACTAAAATGCTGTTGAAGCCTCCAGAACTCGGAAGATCACTCAAGAAATCCATGAAGATGGATTCCCAAGGACCTGAAGGGACCGGAAGGGAACGAAGTAAACCTGAAGGAAGGTGGCGAGGTACCTTATTCCGGGCACAAGTGTCATAGGAGGTAACAAAAGCTTTGACGTAGTTGTCCATGTGAGGCCACCAAAAGTCCCGTGCAACTAGCTCATAGGTTTTCGCAATGCCGAAGTGACCAGCAGTCGGGCTATCGTGGCACGCCATCAGGACCAACCTTCGAGCATCACCTTCAGGAACGTAAAGTTGCTCCCCACGGTACAATAAGCTATCTAAGAACTCGAACTCGTCAAATCGCCGGCAGTCGGGAGTCACTGGGTGTCCAACCTGAAGATGGGGGAAAATGTCGCTAGCGAGATCATCGGATTGAAGATCGTTTCTGATTGCATCCATCAAGGAGGAGTCCTGAGGGGCCAGGGAAATTGCCATAACTTGAAGCCGATCAGGACCGAGGATAACTTGATCTTGTTGATCGAAGGCAGGATTACCAGGCTTGAGACTGAGATAGGAGCGCCTTGAAAGAGCATCAGGAAGACCTTGAAACTTTCCAGGTCTGTACTTGATAACAAAGTCAAACCGACTCAGGAATTGTGCCCA